GCAGCCAAAGTGATCGCCCCTTCTCCGCTTCGAGGGTGCAGATGTGTTCGAATAGTGCGGGTGAGTGAATGACACTCTCGTCACAAATACGAACGAAATACCTTGATCTGCAGCATTAGCTAGTACTGTATAACTAATCATAATTAACACAGTCACAAGTGTGTGTGTATGCGTTTCTGCATGTGTATTTGTGTGTCTGTGTGGGTGCGTGCATGCGCATATCAATATGCATGGCATTAGACTCTTAATGGCAAAGCTTATAAGTCACCTAGCTTTCTGAAAAAAAAATTGCTACCTTCTATCTGTAGCTGCAGCCACCTATCTGGTTATTGAATTCCCCAGCAAGTCAGGTAGAATTTTAACTTCTTAACATTAAGATAAACACTCGCAACATTTACGGCTGTAATTCAGGTTGAAGTTCAAGAATAATTTTTTCCACAACTATGCTGATAATCAATGCCTTGTGATAAAATCTGCGCATCTATCTTGTTTGTAAAAGCATGCTCTCCCATTTATAATGCATTTGTGAGAATTCATTAAACATTTAAATACGCAAAGCGTTAATGATAATTCCCAAGTTAGTCGTAATGTTCCACGGGAAAAAATGCCTTTACCATGCGTCATCGACACAAAGGCCAACAAATGTTACTATAGAAATTTAGGCATCTAAACTATCGCTAATGGTCAGTAAATCTGGGCAAAAGATTGTCGCTAAATTAATACTTCTGGTGAAATAAGTATTTACTATAGCATATGAGAAATAGAAATATGTGCCTAATGGTCAAAGACACATTGAATAAAATTTGTGACCATAAGTTAACCCCAAAGGTAACGTGCAGTATATTTTCGGTAAAGGTATAATGCCTCACTTGCCTTTGTGTAGGTAGCATAAAGTTGTTACGTTTTTTTTTTTTTTACAAAACACGTTACCTATTCAGTTGCTTATGTTTGGTAATGCCTACAGCACTCATTCCTCGTTATACCATCTTAGGTGTCAATCACGAAAATGAACTATGTCTTGTTTAGTTACGAATCGCGTTGTACCCTTGAACGGGAAGCTCAAGAGTCCTCCAAGATTTTGGACTTTGTCTTCAACATCGTCTCCATACATTTTATGTGGTCGTACTTTTCCCTCAGAAATTAGTCGCTGCTCCCACTTTCTAGTGTGGCCCCCCCGCCATACATATTAGTCCTTCGATTAGAGTCATGCAAGTACGTGGACCATAGAAATATATTTCTCTTTATTGAGCTGATTTATTGAGCATTGATTTAAGAAAGTTTTTTACAGCCTAAACTATGATGCTAGAACATTTTATGTGCCTAGTTAGATTATGCAGAATATAACTGAATCATGGTAAATGTATTCAAAAGGTACATGAAGAGAGGGAAGTAACACCATGTATTGTTGTTATATTTTCTTCACAGCAGCCGGCGGTGTTGGCGGAGTAGTTGGCTCAACAGGCTCTGTGTCCAGCGGCGTGGGTAAGAGCATGACATTTACCTTCAGAAACAGTGCTCCCAGCATATTACTGGTTCTGCAACATATCAGAGTTGAAAGGCTTTCAGTGGCCAAATAACAAGTATACGATATCAACAAATCATCTAAGCTACTGTAGCTACAATACTATGAGCGATATGCGCTCAACTATTTCGCCAATTCCTTACAGCCCCCTTCATTTCTGCATGTTACTCAAGCGGAGCAGCGGTAGCATGCGCGCTATTTCTAACTTCAGCAAACGATGACGCCATTCTCGCACAAAAAACGCCAGGCCTGCGCGGTAGGCGCAGCAGAGTCACAGCGAAAGCTAGAAGAGCGGCCTTTCAGAGCCTTTTCCAAACACTCATTGGGTAACTGCTGCAAGCACACTTGCTTGATACTCGCTAGGGCATTAATAATAAACTTTTGGGTAGTAGGCCGGCATTCGCTATGCTATTTTTCGTCATTCTTCTGAGAAGCTTGGTATCCGCTAAACACTTGCAAGGAATTTTGTGCCAATTGTCCATGCAGTGGCTGACGACGATGAGGAATTAGGGCTGTAGTGGGTATGCGCCTCGCTTAATAGGGAAACAATAACAAGCTTTTGTAATGGGTTGGAGCATTGAATGGCCTACTCGTTATGCTAATCGGATTGTGCAACGACTGGTGGTTCTTTCGCTCTTTTAAAACACTTCATAAGTCGTAATAACGCGATTGCTCTCCAGACATCAAGCCTGCCTAAGGCAAGTTTGTCAACAACTTTAGTGTCTTATACTCTTTGATGTTGCCTTTCCTCTGTCCCGATTTTTGTAATTCATCTCTCTCTCTTCGCAACATTTCTTCTTAACGTCTTTCATTCCCCTCACCCCTTTCCCCACACAGGTAGCCAGCCGGTCTAAGAACTGGCTAACCTCCCTGTCTTTCCGCTTAAACTTTCTTCCTCCTTCTTTGTCAACAAGTCACAAGCATGGAGTTTCCTAAAATTATTCAGAGGGTACTCTCACGCTGCGAACGTTCAGCGACCATGGCAGTGATGGGTAGTACACACATTTGTTTTGAAAGAAAGATTCAACCATTTTGAAATTTCTTACCCGATTTGGAAAGGTAAGTCTTAAAAAATAAGGTGGTGAAGCGCAACCGCTGAACATTTGCTAATATTTGTTTCGTAAGAAAACAGCTCCAAGCCACACGAACACACGTGGAGCCAGAAGCAGGCCAGAAGTACGAAAGTTAGACAAATGTGCGTACTACCCATCATTCCCATGCTCGCTGAAGCGCCGTGCATTGCAGCTCCCGTAGACACTAGCACCAGAGTTCCCTCTAGTGTACGTTGAGAAACTCTATGGTCACAAGCACCGGCGTAACCCAGTGGTAGAATATTGGGCTGGCACTCAACGGACCGGGGTGGAAGCCCCACTGTGTCATCAATGCAAGGTTTTTCTTTTTCCTTCGGACTTGTAGTGTTACAAAACGCTGTACATCGCTAGTTCACATCACTTTGTGCGCTTTCACGACGTTTGCATGATATCACAGTTTCCCACTTGTACCGTTACACACGCTGTATAATTTCGCGCGATGTGGTTACGGACACCGGTGGCAGCGGCGGATAACATGCAACTGCGCGTGACCCGAAAAGTGATTTCATAACAGCTTCACTGTATTAATGTCACTCATTACTTTCACCAACCTATCGCCTATTTCATTTTTTTTTTTTTGCAAGCATTCTCCCACTATTTTGTGTCTGCTCAAGGGGACATGCGGTCAATAAAAACTCTGGAAAACTCTAGCACACTAAAAAATAAGGTGTAAGTAGTAACCGCTGTACTTACTGTAGTTACTACTAACACCATATATTCTAGTGCGTTTTGATTTTTTACGAGGTGTAATTTAGCCTGATTCTCGAAGCTACATGCTAGCTTCAATATAAAGTTTGTATAGGTTTTGGTATCATAATGTAATCTAATTCAGGACTGTCCTGCAGTTACTGCGCAGCTTGGCTGTAGTGACCGTAAATAAATGGCTTTTTTGGGGGAATAACTGCTTAAGCTTTGAATCTAAGTGCTGTTTTTGGCCGAGATAAATCACTGGTGATCCATGGTTTATGATTTCTAGACCAGCTCAGATAGTGAAGCCTGATGACAGGGAAAGTATGGAAAAGCTAAAAAGTTGAAAGGGGAGCTTAATGTAGCTAGCTAGTTGACCTGGTGTAAAAAGGGTAGTCACGTGTATATTGGGAAGGTGGTTAGGCGCAGAGCAAAAGAGGAGCTAGCGCTAGTCTTCTTGTCTCTTTGTCGTCGTTCTGAGCTCGCGCTATAGAAATCGTCAAGAGGAGCTATTGTGGAGGTGAAGCAGGTGGTGGGGCGAGGAAGACAGACTGATAACTATCCTTAAAACGCTAAATGTCTCAATGGTTCTGAAATATTCGCTTTGCATCACATCGCATTCGCTCAGGCATTTTCTGCAATGGCCCAAGCTAAAACACTCCATCAGCTGCAGTGTTTAATCAACCTACGTGAGAATAATGCAATAAAGGGAGAAAGAAGAAGAGAGGTTCTTGAAATGAGAAATTTATAAACAGGGTCTACGAGCTGTAGTAAGCGCTTGATAATTTCTGTCGATGCTCTTTTCGTGACGCTAAGTAACTTGATGTGCATACTTTTTTTCAACCGCAGAGTTATTCATGCCAGCCGTTACCTTTAATCTGAGAACTAGAATCTATCATTGTCATGTGCGCACGTGCTATAATCGTCTATTGTTTTGCTTCGCTCCCGGAATACACGCATGCATCGGTTTGTCCTGCTTGGAATGGAATAACTAGTGAGTGAGAGAATGAGTACAGAGAAATAGTAAGTAAGAAAGAGGAAAAAAGCTGTAAAGAAAGAAAAATAAAAATTTATGGCTAAAAAGTTCCTGATGAACGGGAACTTGAGCCCACACGCCGAAGGTACGAAGGTGGGCATTTTTATTATGCAGCTATACATGCATGCTTACGAAGTACAACGTAGCCTTGTATACTAAAAACTGCCAAGGGCTGGGAAAATACAGACAGGGTGAAGAGGAGAGATTGAGGATTGAGGTGAAGAAAACGGTAAGGGGTGGAAGAGATTAACCATTGCATGGAAGAAAGCGAAAAGAAGAAAACGAATTATTATAGAATGAGAAAAAAGGACAGAAGAGAAAGACAGAGGACTGGAAAATGGCGATAGAAAAGAGAACGGAAAAGAAAGGAGACAGGAGAAGCCACAAAGAGCAAGAAATATAGAAAGAGAAAAAACAGACCTAAACAGACACGTAGACATGAAACACGGATAAGACACAAAAATAAAAAGAGGTATGAACGAACCAGAAGGAAAATTCAGCAGATTTCAACCAGAAGAAAATTCAGCAGATTTCACGCCTTGTGAATGGGTACGTTCATGCGAAGCAATCAGTGAATGGTTTTCTATGCTTTAATCAAACGTTACGAGGAGTAGAACCAGTATTAGTAAGTGCAGTATTGCATGAACATTGTGGGCTTACCAGGAACGTCGACTATACACTGGCGGTTACAAGCTATAACTTGATCTCACGTAACGCCAATGTTGGCACAACCATCAGCATTCTCGAAACAAAATATTTTTTACAGTGTGACGAAGTGAATACCATACGTAACTTTCATTTGCGTATTTTTCCAGAGTCTATCAGCACTTGCATATTGCTTGTGGAACAATAAGAAATCAAATGTAACGTTTAGCGTACATCGGAACCACAACCATCTTTCACCCTGCATGATGTCTGTATTGATGCAGTACATGTGTAACGTCTACTGCTTTGTTGTAACGTTAGATAGCCAAAACGGCAAACCACAATTAACGCTGCACTGACATTGCCACTGAATATGACCTTTTGCAGATTAGTTCCAAGAACTGGCTTGGCTCTGTGCCACAATACCTGACTGTCATGCAGAGTGCTTGTGTTAGCTTCCAGCTAGGATTCTGAATTGCATTCTTTGAATTCTTCGAATCAACGCAGGCAATGTCTGTTTTTGTTAACGCCTTCTCACTTAAATTGCGAATGCCCTTCGAGAACATTCCAAGGTAGATACGAACTGTCGATCACTTGAGGCGCATACCTGGTTACAACGGCCCGTCGTGGTATACAAATTTGTGCCACACGTGTGGAGAAGAGAGAGATTTTCACCTTATTCGTGTCATGACCTCAAAGACATACAAAATCCTGTTACCTTTCTGCACCATGTTTAAGAGGTGACCACGAGAACCCATAGGCGTATAGACGACAAGATAGATATATTAGTAGATACGTATATAGAAACGAGCCTTTGGTTTGCTGAAAATGTTTCGCTTTTAGTAAAGAGAAACAGAGGCCATCCAGATTTAAGTATCCTGTTGCCTATATAGCTATGTTAACTTATTAACCTTTGTTTTTATGATAGGACGTAAAGATAAACATTTTATCTTGTTTCGTCTTTTTTCACTCCAGGTCTTACTGGCAGTTCTGGTGGAGTAGCGATCACTGCAGGTATGTTTATTTATGCTACATTTTTTATGAACGAGTACCGATCACGTGTAACTAAAAAGAGAATACGTCAGTTTTTTTTCTCTGGTCTGTCAGCAGTTCTCTTTATGCTGGCTCTAAAGTTTGTTGCAACTTTCAAACAAGCAGTAACAACCTTGTGAAGTTTTACCTGACAAAACCCCAATATGATTAAATGCATGGCTGAGTGCTGAGCTCTAGAAATTTGTACCATATGGTTTTTGTTTAAGTTCACTGAGAACGCATTACACCCGGGCCTCCATCGAAAGGCGCCCGTCGTGGGTGGGATCAGACCCACGAGTTTTGGGTCAGCAGCAAAGAGTTTTATTCTTGTTCACCCGATTGAAAAAAAAAATGATCGATTATTGCCTGTACCTCCACTCTATGGCAATAAATTTTTCCTAAAAGTGATACCACATCAATTTATGTTTTTTATTTACTCAAAATGTAATACCTGCTTGAAGTTTGAAAAAAAAAGAGGTAAAAGAATAATTTTACTTCACTTAGCAGTGTTCAGTAAGTATGTGGGTGTTTCAATAAAATGTCTTACTTCCGCAGTGCCAGTAGCTATTCCTGTATTGGTTTCTGTTTTTTTATTCAGCATAGCAGTCGCTCCCAAAGCATGACCACTTGTTTTGTTGCTTGCCCAGCATTTACTAATAAGGCCATCAAAAATGATTTAGTAATAGTACAACAAGCCGCTTCCTTTTCATTGCTTAGGTCCTGCTGCCGGTGGTCCCGGTGGCACCCTTGCTGGTGGCCCTAGAGGAGGCCTTGGTGGTGGACTTGGTGGTGGCCTTGGTGGTGGCCTTGGTGGTGGCTTTGATGGCAAACTTGGTAGCGACATTTTTTGTATTCTTGGTCGTGGAATGACATGTATGTGCTATCAAAATGCGGTGTATCTTGTAGTATAATAAGATTGTTTATTTTCAAAATGTTAGATCTCAAAATGTTACATGTAATACATATACGGCCAAAGGTAGATTAACTGCGTGACAATGACCCTACCACCCAAGCACCTTTCAAGAGGATTTCGAACATATATAAATTATAAATAAAATAGAAAGTGGAATCACCAAGAAGAAGAAAAACATGACACAATGCTATCAGGTAGCGTTCACGATACACACAAAATAATTTAAACAAATGTACTATATTTAATACAAATGTGGTACACCACATCACGCTTGAGACCCTGCTCATACTATGAGGGCATACAGGGCATGGTGGTGGAGATAGATGTGGTGGTGGTAAGTGAACGTGCCGCCAATCAGCACGAGTGGATGCCACAAGAATCAGAAACATTGCATTCCAAATAGCAGTGTGTCCAAGCCACACTCATTATGAAAGTGCCCACTGTGGTTTCGAGGTAAATTACACGGTGGTGCGTGTTGTTACAACCAAATGCAGGTTTTTTTTACGTTCAATGAATATATTTAACGGGTTAAGCAGTGCATTGACGGATCTCCTGTTATAATAAATAGCAGTCCACGCCTCTCGCACTGGGAATGACACTGCAGCTCCAGCAAACCACACTGTATACATTAATCGCTGATACCATATTTGCTGTGAACTGCTTTCACACACTTCGTTGACAGGCTCAGAATCTTATAAAGGAGCTGAAAAGCCTTTCGACACCGATCCACGTGGGCACATTCAAACATATTTGATTCTACAAACAAATGCCCTTGTCTCTAGAGCCATATTTAAGAAACTGCACTACGGAGTAGAAGAGACAAGATAAGACTACACTGGAATATGCACATTCGAGGCTTTTTCGTGCTTTCATTGCATTAGGAAATAAGAACACTCTCGGCTGGACCTCGCCCCTGGCGTCGGCGCCGTCCCTTATCGTATAAGTATACGCATTTATATATATAAAAATGCAAAAAAGAAAAACAATTGAGAAAAAACTCCGGAGCGCTGAATCGAACGTGGTACCTTTGAAGTGTCAGTACAATGTGTTAGCCACTGAGCCACAAAGGAGCACCTCGTTGAACCTTGGGTGGCAGAGCTATTTATACTTATTTTCGCAGATGACAATAAACTCATTTTCATACTCAGCTAGACTATTAACAAACAATATTTTTGTGGGAAAGTCATACTAAGTACAAAATGTTTTCTCAAGCACACATAAAAAAATAAAGCCCTCACACAAAAGTCACGGTTTTTTTATTATTACAATGTTACCTGTAGATGTACCTGTAGCACTACTAATTATTGGATTAACGGTAGAAGGAGTTGGACCGGTCAGTGGCTTCCAGACAAAGCACTTTCAATATGATTTTTGTCGGGAGACTTCTCGTGACCGGTCAGTGGCTTCCAGACAAAGCACTTTCAATATGATTTTTGTCGGGAGACGTCTCGTCCAGCAGCTCATCAGGTGCCGCTGTAATTCCGGCTGCAGCAATGACAATCAAGTTTAAGTTGTCACATATGACTACATCTACGGCATCAGAGCTTGCTGCTATAAAAGCTGCTTTACAATATCTTGTTCAAAAACGTCCAGGAAAACGGGTCATATTCTGTGATTCGAAGGCAGCGCTTCAGAGCTTGCAGTCTGCCATGCGTAGGAGGAGTCATGACCAATTGGTACAAGAAATAAGACATTGCCATCATGAAGCTCTAGCACGAGGGCATGATATTATATATCAATGGCTGCCAGACATATCGGTATTACCGGAAATCAATTAGCCGATGATGCAGCCCGCTCAGCCCATGAAGGAACCCGTGTAGTCCTGATTCCTCTATCAAGGAATGATGCAGCAAGGCAACTTTACCTGCTAGCTCGAGATCTCACACGCACGTTCTGGTCGTCTACCAGCTTCCAAAGGTATCAATTTTATGAACTGGATCCTTCGCTCAAGCTAAAGCTACCATCACAACTTTCCCGCTCCGATGCGACACTGTTATACCGCCTTTGGTTGGGTGTTGCATTTACAAAGGCGCACTCCTTTCGCATTGGTATGGCAGACACTCCTACATGCGACTACTGCGGAGCTGAAGAGACCATCGAACACGTCCTGTGCAGCTGCGCTTGCTACGACACACAGCGATGCCAGCTCCGGATGGTTTTGAATTAACTTGACCCCGAACCATTTTGTGTGCAGAAGATACTAGGACCTTGGGCATCTGCCTCAGTTGCGCAGAAAGCAACTAAAGCACTGCTATTTTACCTAAAGTCAACAAACCTGAGCGACCGCCTGTAGACTGTGTGTGCTCCCCGAGTGTGCTCGTGATTTTGTGTACCTTCCCATCTCTCTGCAACCTCCTTTTTCCCCTTTATCCCTTCCCCAGTGCAGGGTATTAAACCGGATGAGCGTCTGGTTAACCTCCGTGCCTTTCCTTGCATCTTTATCTCTCTCCCTCTATCTCTTGTCGGCAGACCATTTGCAATGACATATATGCTTATAGCAACAAAGAACGTTCTAGTTAGCTCTTCGTAAAAGGGGTATTTTGTTTCTAGGTCGTTTCATGCAAATGTAATTCCCAAAGCGCATTGTGTGAGCACAATTCGAGACATAAATAATAATTTGATGGCCTCAAGCAAAAAGCGAAGTGTTTAGCACATTACATAATTACGCACTCTATTTGCTCTTGTTTAGGCCTCGGTGGTGGCTTGCATGGCACGCCTAGCGGAACCGTAGTGCTCGGCAGCACCGGCACAATATCAAGCCCTGGCACAACAAGGGGTCCCGGAAGCATCGGCGTCCCCATCGGTGGTGTCTACGGCAGCTCTGGCAGCCTTAGCGGATCAGGAGGTGCGTCGACCAGTGACCTGACGATTGACTTTACTGTTAATAGCAGTTTTCTTTAGATTGAGCTTAATTAGCCCAATGCGAAAAAAACATTCCGTGATGACGTCACCACGCGTTTCCTGGCAACCAGTTGCCCGGCTGTGCGCCTGCTTCACTAGCACATACACTGTTCCGCAATGAGCACGTTTGCCTGGACATTGCACGCAACCACTGAGTCGCGCCAGATATGACTTCAAGGCATATTGCTCGTGCGCTTTTTTTGTAGTACCGACACGCGGCGGCGGCACGCGGTGCCAAACACAGCCCCCTGTGAGGAACCCGGTCACTGAGAATAGCGGTACGCTGTGAACTGAGGCAGCTGAACTAGACTCGTCTAAAGGTGTCCACGACGTACTACGTCTTAAATCGCAAGTGATTGTTAAGCTGGACTTAAGTGGAACTTGGCATTACTAGGCATTACTTCATATAATTTTGCATCATTTGGCATCACTTGATATGGTGAGGACCAGGTATGAAGCCTTTAACTCTGCACCACTAGTGCGAGGGACACCTGTTTTTTTTAATTAATCATATTTATATTATAATTATACATATAGTTGAGCTTGAGCTGTCCAAGCAACTTTATTAACTGGTTAAGTAAATTAAACGAGCAAGCAGTAAACTTCACATAAACAGGTGGTACGAAATACCAGCTCAAAATGCTCGCGTGAAGCTAGCATGCCAACAGCAGCATCTGCACGGGTTAGATGTGCGAGTCGTAGAGTGAATGTTCGGCGAGACAGTCAATTACATAAAATAATGACCTAGTAGAAATTTGGCACCTACATTTGTAGTAAGCGTGTATTGTAGGTGAGTTTCATACGGTCGGTATTACGTGCTCAGACCTTCGTTTCCTCGCGGCATGGTCAAAGTGTTCAGTGAAAAGCTAAGCCGGGCAAACAAAAATAACCGATGAGAACAGGGTTGATCATGCTTTCGCGTTCTACTCTTCAACGCGAAGCTCAAGCGTTGAGAACTTTTCATCCGGCTTTGAGGTGAGAATGCTTCTGGCTTCATAAGGTGTAGCGCACTGGTCATGACTGCAGTTTTTTTTTCTTCATGGCCAGCTCACACAATCTACACTGTTCGTTCTTCTCTGTGTGTTTATAGTTCGCGCTGTCCATCAACAAATTCAGCTGTTATTCTAAATGCACATGCGTTTTTTTCTCTATTTGATACCTTAGGTACTACTATTGTCCATAATGCAGGCAGTGTTGGAACTTCAATGACGGTTGCATCGGGAGCATCTGGTAAGTGCTGGTGCGTTTTCGAATAACCACGATGAAGTTATTTTGTGCTAAATGTTGGGGTGGCATGGGTTTAATGGGAGATATGTTTCAGTGGCATTTTTCGTGCTGCGAAAATGGCGAAAGTTTATTTGTTTTTTAATCACAATTTCAAGTAAAACGTGTAATTATGCATATGTGGTGGCGAATACGGACTCTTGCCAGTCGCATTCACATATTCGAACTTTAGGTCGGAAGACTGTATGATCGACCAAATGTTTCCATTTACTATTGTTGAATTAACGTAACCGCAAATTTTACATTTCATACAAATACATTATGCTTTTTTAAAAATACATATATTTATTCTTACTCTGCGGTGCTCATGCTTCAGTCGTTTGTGACATAGATGGCATGAAGCTTAAATTACATAAGCAAGGCTAGTTAGCAAAACGTTGCGAATGAAATCTTATTGTTGACTTGATAGTCGTTGCTTCTACTAAAAAGTTGCGATGTATGCAAATTTATGGCATACTTTTTTTCTAGAAATCGCGAAACGTACACGTACTTCGGGATGTTCATAATCAAATTTCAAGAGCGAAAAATCAAAACTCGCCGCACCCGGCGTAAAGGAAACGTGGCTCCCTTTGTTACCTAATCACCTGACAAGGGAATGGCGCAACTTGAATTATTATTTATTTGCGCAATTGTTTTCTTGAATTACGGTGCACTGAAGCAAAATACGGTCCATAAAATCAACAAGACTGCCTAAATAAATAGCAGACAGCTTATTCTTTGGGTAGAATATGCGGTGCTTTTCTGCTTCTACCTTAATGAATAAAGCGGAGCAAAACTATTTCGCCTGTCTGTAAGAAAAAGAGCCGGAGTGCATGCCACCGAGTTTCATGCATTACAGTGTAAGGATTGTGTGAAAATGTAGTTTTCTCGCGCACAGCCTGGAAACTACATAAGTACCAAACACCACATGCAAAAGTGAGGCAATTCGCTGGCGCAGCAGATATGACGTTTTCTTTTTTCTCCGGAAGGTACGACAACATCACACTTTCATTCAACTTTTGTTACTTCCTTCACACTGGGAATGTCTTATGACGTCACAGAGCAGCCGCGTCTCATGTGTGCCGAGCACAAACAGTTTCAACGTCACCTTTAAAATTCAAGAATAGACATATCGAAGTACATTCAAATTTTGTGATTTCTAACAATGGATACGCAATAAAGTGGCATGATTTAGTGCTTCTCCGAACTACCGAAGCCTACCAGCATAGCGAGCTACTTCAAGTTATTTTATGCAGCAATGCCAGAAGACAATTTTCGTCATGAATCGGCACGCCCTCTCTTCGTTTTCCTCATCCTGTTCTTCGTCCTGTGCTTCACTCTCGGAACAAGAGTACCAATTTGTCCGACATGGCATGCGATAAATATGATGAGACTTCGAACGAGTGCACACAGAGATAAAAAGAAAAAAAGAAAGAAGAACAGAGGAAGATCGGTATAAGGAAGATAAAGAATACAGGGAGAAGCCGATGAGCCTGCTGCTTCTTTAGTCATTTCACCAATAGTGCGCAGCTTTCCCGAATTCTTTTCTATCGCATAAAAAATCATTCAAAGCACTTTGATTGTGCATGAAGTGAACGTTTGCTTTCGTTAATTGTGGACCTGCTTTAGGTGCGGCTGGAGCTGGCGGTGGATCATTTTTGGGTGGCACAGGTGAGTAAAAAGCTCAAATCCCTAAAGTCTCAAGTACGCGTAAAATAAACCAAGAGATAGTGAAATCAGTTTATCTACAACGGACGTTAACAGTAAGTCTATCCTAGTAACTGTGTTACAGATGTCAAAAATGTAAAATGGAGGAATAAAAGTTTCAAAGTTTCAAAGTTTCAAAGTTTATTTGCAGGAAAATACAAAAACTTCCCTGCGGGAGGCAAAGACTAAAGGCTAAATAGCCTGACGAGGTCTTGACCTCCTGATACAGTCTGCATCAGTGCCATATTACACATATTCACACATCAGTAACATACATATACAAATAAGTGACATTATACATATCTTATTTAGTTACATAGTATACATTCAGAATATGTTTTACATAAACAGGAAACAATTTTGGTATCAAACGATTCTGTTTAAGTATCATTGTTCACAGTAAGAAAAAAAATCAACTCAGTATACAAGTATTCCTAAATATAAAAGCCTATGGATCTACTATGTCTTTAGTCAAAAGAAGAAAGGATTTATGATGACATTTAAATTGTTTAGTTTTCAGAGTAAAGTCTATATTCGATTCGTGAAGGTTTAGCAATTGTATGATCTTATAATCAATAGCCTGCTTGCCATAGTTCGTGCGTGTTTTCTTAGTTTTGCGGGTAGAATTTCTGAAGCCATATGTTGTTGATACAGTGCGTGGAAAGGAATCCTGTAGTTTATGTTTGTGGATGTGTTGCATCAGTTTAAGATTATATACTTTCCTAGCAGATAGAATTCCATGTTTAAGAAAAAGCGGCTGAGTGTCTAAGTCCTTGGGGTGACCTTTATATTTTTCTATTACACGGAGCGCGCGCTTTTGCAAGATTAATATTCGATCGTAATTGGTCTTAGTTGTTGTTCCCCATACAAGCATTCCGTATAGAAGCTTGGAGTAAAACATGCTATAATATAATGATTTACATAACCATGAAGGGAGGAGGAAAGCAATTTTACTCAAGCACCCTACAGAACGAGCTAGATCTACCAAGAGACTATTTACGTGCGGTGTTTATGTTAAGTGCTCATGAAACCAGACTCCAAGGAATTTTTGTGTGCTGACTTGTTCGAGTCGCTGATTGTCAAACAAGATTACTATATTATCACTGATGTGCTTGTTGATGGGCCTGAACATAATAAATTTTGTTTTTTGTGTGTTTAATTTTAGTTTGTTTTTTGTTAGCCAGCCTGAGAGTTTCGAGAGATATACATTTGTCGAAGCTTCTACTTCCTGAATGGTGGAGCCTGTGAAGAATATACTTGTGTCGTCAGCGAACATTTTAATTTCGGGTGTATACTGAACCTCTGTAATATCATTTATATATAAAAGGAAAAGCACGGGGCCTAAAATGGACCCCTGCGGAACTCCTTTCTTTACGCTTAAATAGTCTGAAACGAAGGAAAATACGACTTTCCCCACGCAATAATCGATTGGTATATGGGGTTTAACGTCCCAAAACCACCGTATGATAACGAGAGACGCCGTAGTGGAGGGCTCCGGAAGTTTCGACCACCTGGGGTTCCTTAACGTGCACCCAAATCTGAGCACACGGGCCTAAAACATTTCCGCCTCCATCGGAAATGGAGCCGCCACAGCCGGGATTCGATCCCGTGACCTGCGGGTCAGCAGTCGAGTACCTTAACTACTAGACCACCACGGCGGGGCCACACGGAAGAATGCCAACCAACTTCTCCAAAGCCCCTCTTAGTTCACGTATCTACTTATCAGTTACCAAATGTATTGTCTGAGACTAATGTGAAGATGTGTATTAGATGTTTTTTTTTTTTGCTTTGAGTACGTATCTTGTCGCGCACGCGGTGCAAGAATGCAAAAAGAGCGGAATTTTGAGGGCTATAGTTTTATTGTTAAAGGGTCTTGTGCCACGTGATGTCAGCTGGCGAAAGAAGGAGTATTTATTATTCACTATCATCTCTCTAGCAGCGCTGACTAACGCTGCCTCGTTTGCATTGTGATGACCAGATAATGTAGACAAGAGGATGATCACTTTCATAGCTCTACTGGCAGAGCACCAAGTGTTTTATGCGAAGTTGCAGGTTTGGCTCCAGCCCATGGCAATATGTCATGCCTTTAAATTTGAAAGTGATAGCCAGTGTTCACTCAAAGTTTACATTGTATAACCCCATTCGGAGTTTCCATGAATTTAGACAAAAATGTCTTCTTTCATATAAAATTTGAGCCATGATTTGAACCATTTTCGGATAGTGCAGGCGTGTATTTGTCAGCCGGAAAGTATGCAAACTGTTTGTGTAGAAAACGGTGGCAACAAGTTTGAAATTGTAGGATAACACCTAGAAGAAATCAGTACGAAACTTTTGTTTACCTTTAGATTGCTCGAAACACAGTTATATAAATTACATGGACTACGAATATCAAGTGCTCAGCACAGAGTCGTTGTTCAATAACAGGGTGAAGCATACATGCATATTACTGTGCATGCGGAATAGAAAATGTCAGTGAAAGTGCGGCATTTCGTACTAGCTAATAGCCCCCTTTGCCGAACATTAACGTTATTTTTCCCTTTCCATGAAAGCCCCCTGTTCTTTTTTGCACTTTTAACGGCCCAAATCAACAAACATCCAACGGAAGTTCATCTGCCCCAAAGTCGCCTGTTATAACGGTTTTCTCTTCCATGCGTGCTGAGACGCTGCGTTTCAACTGCCGCATTTTTTTTGAGAGCTTAAGTATTTTGCTGTATTAAAGTGCACCTAAATCTAAAGTGTCACAGCCTGAAAGATTTAGGTAGTTTATCTTCCATAGTGCAAAAATATGCAGAAAATCCAAAAATACTAACGAAAATCAATCCCCTGTTATTTGCCCATTATTATCGACCTTTTTCTTGCGGGTGTTGGCACTCATGTTAAAACCACTTGAAATTCATTGTCTGCTGTCTGTTGTCCATTGTCTGTTAGTTCTCATTAATATTGTGTCTAACGATACTGAGCTCTTAAATGTACGCTTCTTTTCTTGATTTCTGCAAGATATATATATATATATATATATATATATATATATATATATATATATATATATATACATGTCAGTTAAATGTAGTTTCACCACTGTTTTAAGGTTCTATGAAAGCGAAGCTCTTCTCTTTGAAAAGTAACTAGGTTGGTGTCACTTATCAATACAGAGAGCGCTCCCACAACAATATATACAGACCACACTCTAAAATTATTTCCTTGACGGGCCTCGCAGGTGGTCACCTTGGTATCGGATCACTCTCGAGTACCTCAGGTGAGTGCAAAAAGAGTTCCTCAAAACGTCCAAAGTCATATTGGTCGCGTTATTTGTTTAGAAGCAGCAGACGTTACAACATTTTAGTTAAATGCTTGTTATACGCTCCCTCTGCATAGGCCGTGCCAAGTCGTGGCACAAAAAAAATTAAGAAAGTCTCGCACTCCCGGTGCCAAGCCTCGAGAAAGTGTGGCTTTCTCTCTGTTTGTTCCCTTTATCCTATGTCTATTTTTCTGTGTTATGCTTTACTCTCGCGTCTTTTTCTTTCCATCCTCCATACTCTTCTATAGTGTAGTACCCCTCGCTGTACTATACAACACAGGGCTATGTTTTCCTGTACTGGTGTGCCTAGTTAACCGAGTGGTCTCGATTTTCACCATGAGGTCATGAGAACGTGCGTTTGAAACCCGCCTCGTCAAGAAATTACTTCTACAACCATCGTTCTCTTTTTTTTCTTTATCCCCTTTTCTCCCTTTTTTCTTGCTCTAACAGACAATAATGGTTGATCTAACAGATAATAATGCCAAGGAAAGTATAGGAGAGGTGCTAGACCGAATTTTAAGGTAATTGTGAATAAAGAAAAGTGGGTGAAAAGATAACCAGCCGTGGGCAGGAACCGAACCTGCGACCTTCGAATAACGCGTTCGATACTGTACCTCTGAGCTACCACGGCGGCTATCCTTCCAACTGACTCGCTCGCTGGATTCCGTGCTGACCGGTTGTGCCCTCGCGATCTGCGACGACAGCGTCCTTTGGCCGACTGGGCTGGCTACGCCATCTCCTGACGCCGATTTCCAACGACACCATAGCTATGGCCGACTGAACTCGCCCTACGCCATCTCCTGACGCCGACAAGAACTCTCGTAGAGTGGTGCCCCGTACTCGGACTCCTGCGTTCATCTCCATCTTTCCTATCTTCTCGTTACTTCCGTTGTTCGCGGTCCCTGCGCCTCGCTCTCTCCTTCCTCTCTCTCTATCTCTTTACCTTTTCATCATATCTTTTTAATCCCTCCTTTACCCCCTCCCCATCCCTCGTGAGCTACTGCTTTTTCAATTTTCAAAATTTGTTTTATTGTTTTTTGTACAAGACACAAGAAACAAAAAGGTGTTGGGGCTAAAGGCATATAGCCTGACAGAGGACCCAACACCCTTGTACACAGTTCGTACATCAAAAATATAAAAATAAAAAACAGCTGTCGTGGCATCCAGACCTTCATGAACAAAAGAAGCAGCAGAGCGAAGAATAGCTGACAAAAAATATCATGTTACATTGCATCTGACTGATTATACAAATCTTGTAACATACTTACTACGTAACAATCACTCAGGAAGGAATCAGACTAGAACATTAGAGACATGTGATACATACCATTATATTTTATAGTTAATAAAATACATGCAGTACAAGATTTCCATCGCCCGACTACTACCATTGCTAACATCAGTATTTTTAGGTTGAGGTGTCCTCCCTCTAAGGGACAGTTACGGGGCTCACTTGTCTCTTCTTTTTATTTAAAATCACTCCGCCCCCCCCCCCCAGCCACTTTATTCGGCATATATCAGAATTTAAACGTGGGAGTGTCAGTCAGTGCACCAGTAGCCATGGCGACGAGTGCGGCACATTCTTTATGAGCCTATTTGGCGTCACGTAGCACGTGAACTTATTACGAGGTGGCAGCTGACCAATAGTCTCTCGTATACAACCTAACGGCACCAAGCCTGCCAGTACGAGAACCTCGTAAATGAATAAGGAAAATAAGTGTTTACTTAAGCGCTTGTTTTTCCATGTTTTCGACACAACAATAATGAAATATAACAGACAATAATGCCAAGGAAAGTGTAGGGGAGGTTATTAGACCAAATCGTGAGGTAATTGTGACAGAAAAGTGGGTGAAACGATAACTTGCCGTGGACAGGAACCGAACCTGCGACCTCCGAATAGAGCATTGAACGCGTTATTCGAAGGTTGCAGGTTCGGTTCCTGCCCTCGGCAAGTTATATTTTCACCGACTTTTTTTTCTTCACATTTACCACACGATTCGGTCTAATAACCTCCCCTATACTTTTCTTGGTATTATATTCTGTTAGATTTCATCATATATATATATATATATATATATATATAGAGAGAGAGAGAGAGAGAGAGAGAGAGAGACCATGCAGTGCAATCAACCATTTAAAGGGCCTCGCTGCTGGTCTCTTTTAGCCGCGGATCAGTTTTGGTTACCACAGGTGGGTCGAAAAAAAAATGCTAAAGACATTCATCGTTAATTGTGTAAATAATGGGCACGCTTTCTTTTTTTATGAACAGCATACGAAAAATGTATTTCAATTTATTTGAAGGAAAAATTGCACGTTCCCTTTGCGTATCGCAAACGACATAACGAAAAGAATAGCAGCCACACTATGAAAAACAGCATAGTTGTGTCGTAGGACGCGAGATTGCAACGCAAACAGTCTGATTTTGAATATTACTCAGATGGAAGTTTTTTTGCTGTTTATTTCTATTTCCTTTCATTACATGGGCATTATTAGAGGGTATGTTTTTTCTTTCAGTGCTCTTATGAGCAGTAGCGTAATTCTGTAGTAAAACACCTCCTTGCCGCGCAGACTAATTTCAATGCATGTGAGCTTGGACAGGTTATGCGCTTTGTCGGTACACTAGCGGAAAGATTTCACATAGCCCAAGTGAAGGGACCACGACGAGCGCTTCTCTTGCCCTGTGGCATATTTTTGCAGTATACGCATGTAGTTATGCATCATCAGCAAGCCGAACACTATTAACCCGATGGCATTGAAAACCTCCTTTTGCAGAAAATTTAGCGTCGGCGTCAGCAGCAAAAGTCGTGCGAGAGATAGCACCATCTTGTCCGTGACTGAAAAATTGACACAGATGCAAATAATCTGAGTGAGGATCGACGTAAGCCGTCTGCGGTGCAAGAAAGCGTTCTTTTCTACCACAGTACCATGCTACTGCATATAAGAGCGCCGAAAGAGGAAAAAAACATAACGGTAACGGTAATGAAATGCAAAGAAATGAAATAAACAGCAAAATAAAACTTCCGTTCGAGTGATCAAAACCAGGCTGTTTGCGTTCCAATCGCGCTTCCTGCCACACCGCTATGCTGTTCTTTCCCAGTTATTACATGGGAATAACGTCATCGAATATTGTAATCTATTGTAACAGAATTCATCACTTTCAAAATGTGCTCACATGCTCCAAACATACTATATCACACCATCCAGTGAATCTTCAAAAGTACGGTAAACAAACACAAGCATCCCGAAGTCCAAGCCACTGCATAACAGTGCAAAAAGTCTCAGCAACGCAAAGCTCATTTGCTGTTTTTTTTTTCAAGAAGCTTGGAAGTGCTTCGAAAAACAACACTGTATGTGGTGTAGTCAAGGAGAGTTCTTAACAGGTCATATTGCGCAGCAGAGGAGGAGGAGGAAGAATGAAAGAGGAAAGACAGGGATGTTAGGCAGTTCTCCGACCGAGCTTGAATTCGCGCCAGGTGGCAAAACGTGTGAATTGCGGTGGGTGGATGACTTAAAGGCACACGCATGATGAAACGCTCAGATATATTTATACATCATGATCATGAGGTGATAATCAACGAAGTGAACAGGTGTGCGTGTTCACGTTATAGTGAACTAGAATTCGCACGTTGCCCCACGGATGCGTCGTAGTCCTTCCCTGATTCACAAAAAAAAGAATTGCGTTGTTGTGGGCACCTACCTGTACATTTACAGAACGTGTTCTGCGATATCTCTAAAATGCCAATGTCGTTAGTTTTCTGACGAAACTGCTGAGGAATTCGCCGATGACCGAAGCCAAGCTGGTAATCGAGTAGGTGATGCGCGCGGACTCAATTACGCTATCGCATGCTGCTGTTGATTGAAAGAACTCATCAGCCTTAAGTTCTTTTTTTTTTTGCGATTCAGGTATGAAAGCCAAAGTGTTAAAGTGCAATTAAACCCTGCACACAAACACTTACGTGACTTATCCATAATAGGTTTTTTGGGGAGGTGCTCGCCTGTATGTAACAAGGAATGCTTATAGCGTGTGTATTCAAGTTCCATACTTATTTTGTATGTTGTAGGCCTTGGTGTTGGCAGCCACGGAAAACTCAGTGGAACCACTGGTACCGTAAGGCTAGAGGTCCCCGGTGGCTTCGGCAGTATCAATGGTCGAGGTGGTATGGTTGGTCCAGGTGGCCCAAGTGGTGCTGGCGGCCTTGGTGGAGTAGGAGGTGCACTATCAGGAGGTTCACTGGGACTTGGTAATATTTAATTAATTATGTTACTAAACACCCACGCTGTAAACGCTCCCTATGCATCAGTCATGCTTAAAAGAGCCATACTGATTCTCATATGGGCGTTCATTTATCTGCATAACACAGGACCCGGGAATAACTAATAATGAAGTATCACTTGGGACCATACCATTGCATGTTGCGGTATGAATTCTCAGCTGAGTACTTGCACAGAAACACTAATAGTCTTGTTAAAGTGCCAAAGCGGGTAGAAAGAACATACGATGTCGAGAGTATACAATTTTTCTCAAAAGTTTTTTCATCAAAGAGGGGAGTTCTCCACATTATACTATATTCTTCTTTGTGCTTCATTGTTTAGGTGGCACCAATGGCCTCAGTGGCGCCTCAGAGAAGATTTTGGGTGGCAGCTTTAGTGAGTTTATACCTTCATTGGCAGAGTGGCTTTCGATGCAAATATATATGTGATAATACAAGTTTATGTTGCTTATTTCTGTTTATTTAGCTTAATAGCGTTTAAGCCACTCATCACTTCTACATTACCGCAGCGGAATTGGTATGAATACAAAATAGAGTGACGCGGTTGCACAAACATTAGAACAATGTTGCCTTACAAACATCTGGTTTTTTAACTTCAAGTTAAGTTATATTCGCAAGCAATATTTATGTGGCTTAATCAACATACCTTTTCTTCAAATATGATTATTTTGTGAGATACTAATACACCGTTAATTCCGAACACTGATCATTCTGTTTCAGGTGCTGCTGGTAGTGGTGCTAGTGGAACAGTAGCTATTTTGAGCAGCACAGGTAATCCGACAAATTTTAGCAGCTAAGCATCAAGCCCTAAAATCGGGGTTTTTTTCAATAGCAGTTTAAAAGCTCAAAATACAAGAAGAGTGTTTCAAAGCTTTACCCATTTCATACATTAAAAATGCTCATGAATTTAATGTGGCTTAAGTACGACACCACTCCTTAATCAAAGTGCATTTTTGCAGTGAAGAAAAAAAAGTCTGACACTCAAATTCCAAGAACAGAGAAGAGACAACGATTCATATTTGAAATAACTTTAGAAAATTACCACTGCCTCTCTTCTTTAAATATATGGCCTGAATTTAATATTTGCTTCAGGGACAAATGTGCATCAAAACTGATCCTCACTTGTCATTTTTTTTCTATCCTGGGAAATAGACCTTTTTCATAGGTTGTGAACTTAGTTGTCCTACTATGAAGTTTGAACAAGTAATGACGGCTTGTCAATTAGTGCAAGTAACTTGTTTAACTGCGGTTTGCCTACGCAATGACGGAGAAAATGTTGAGTCTCCTCTCTTGATATAAACACTCATATTAGACAAACCTCTTCTCATTATACTAGGACCGCGTCTCCGTTTGAAGCATGACAGGTTCCGCCATTACTTGTTTGAAATATGCAGTGCAGAGAAGCACACTTGTGAATTGTGAAAAGTGCCCACTATGGGTAATTATTCTTTATCATCAAGATTAACGTAGCGTGAGAGAGAACGGTTCTGCTGGGTGAATTCATTTATGATTAATATTCTTTTAGATGTTTCTTTTATGAATACTCCTACAAAGTAAACCTAATGCTTGCTTTCGAGTTGAAGCTTTTCTTACTCTCCTATTTTTGACGATAGGGCTTTTATACATTCCCCTTAAACAGTCAATCGAACTTATTTGGGTGCGTCAACATTCTTGAAACTTATCGCTTTCCTAAATTTAAACAGATGTTACATGTCTAGAAAAAGTACCTGGCTAAAAACAAGAACAAAGCCAGCAATAAACACTGCAGGTGTTCTCCAGCAAAAAAAAAAAAGTTTCGTTGTGGCATAAAATGTTGCTGCTCTCTCTATATCTGTTAGTTACGTCAAGTTTTTTCTTCGTCGTAGGTGCAAGCAGTGGCGGCACTGGCGGATCACATACACTTGTTATTGGAGGTCCAAGTAAGTATGCTCCAACCTCCAATTAGAGGCGCAGCGCCGGCAGTTAAAGTGCCCAAGTACATATAGTTGTCGGTCATGTGGCAAGTTAAAAAATAATGCTTGTATTCTAAATAAAATGCATAGCGCAAAGTTGTATGCAATACTTCTAGTACCAACCTGCTTTTTAAACTCGCATACGCTTCAAGTCATGGTCACAGAATCTGTATGAAGTCTCATGAAGAGCACCAGATTATAACCAAACTTTCGAGCACCTCATTTGGTTTTTATTTTTTATACTGATAGGTGCGGTTTTTTTTTTTTGCGCATCTCTTTTTGCTTGATAAAAGTGTGAACTAGCGTTCTCTAAAAGAGCAAGCCGGTAAAAGACATCACTGTCGAGCAGATTTGTCGTTCGGTGGCTTCTTTTCTTATCCTGGAAGTTTCTGCCTTTTTACAAATCACTTAGATTGCCCTATCTTTGTGAGCGGCTTTTCCAAATGAGACTATTTGGGAGTGAACTGAACAACAGTAATGTTAGGCATTGTTCACAATGCTTTAAACACGTATGGTAGTAGCGTTGGCCTGAGAGCAGTCGCGTTTGGTGGCTGTAGGTAATTACACATGCTCCGCATATGTACAGTAATATAGGAAAGGTATCAGGCTGTATCTCTGACCTGCCGTCCTTTAGTAAAATTGCCCATAAGTGATACTTCACTCTGAAGGCCTAAGAAACGAACAAATGTTAAGAAATAAGATGAATTCACCATATATAACGCAACCACCGAGACTATTAGGTATCGTTACTAAACTTCTGTGCACACATTTCAACTGACAATGCTTCATGATGTTCAAGAATTCCAAACACATACATTATTTTCACGACCTGTGTTGTGAAGAAGAATTTGAAATGTGCAATGTCTCCCTATTTCTTCATTGAAACAGACGTCTAAAGTTACTGAAGGGTTACTTCGATAGTAATGAAAACTAGCGGACAATGTGGCCATGGAAAGCACAAGGGAGGTTATCAGTAGTAATTATAATGTAAACAAGTGAAGAAAGAAAAGATGATAGATGAGAAAATTAAAAAGGGAGTGCGAAAGGAAGTGAGAAAAGCGGAAGTTTGTTGAAACTTGCGAAGAAGCAACAAAAAGGGGGTAACACTTTTTTGGCCTGTTGGCGTTACGTAGATTGTGATCCTTTTACACCCCCCCCCCTCCCCATCTGAGCTGGTAGGGCACTCGTAATCTCTAACATACTACGTCGATGCATCAAGCCGGGTAGAATTAGATGCTTGCTGAAAACTAAGAAAAGAAGTATACATTTAAAAGCTGGCCGTTTTTAGATGCGGAGCATCTTATACTCGCGCCTTGTAGTGCGCCGTCCGCACCGCTTCTCGAACATTCGACAGCTGACGCGCGCGCATGCGCCGTCGCGCCGTCGCCCACTCTTCCACCATCTGTGCATCCCTTCCTCCTCTACACACCGCGCGCGCTTCACTCCTCCGCCATCTGTGCACCCTTCCTCCTCTACACACCGCGTTCGACTCTACAATTCTCCTGATTCTCCAGTGGACGCGCATGTGGCGTCGCGCTTCGAGAACATTCAACAGCTGACAGTGCATGCGCCGTCGTGCTGTATATATACTCAAGGTCGGCGCTCGCTCGCTCAGTTGCCGCTCGTCGGTTGGTTTGTACGGCGCGTCGACGTCCAAGGTCGCGGTGAAATGAATTCCAACGAATCCACAAACACAATGATCGACGTCCCTTCGACCAGCGCCGCCCTTTCGCATACGTGTGTACGTGTTCACTCATTTAACACCCCCTCCTACAACCACGTTAACCAATTTAGCCATCGACCCAAGTAAGTCGCAATTTAACACCCCATTTCACAACCACGTTAACCAATTTAGCCATCGACCCAAGTAAGTCGCACTTTAACACCCCGTTAACCAATTATATGGTCCGCATCCTCCTCAGTGTTCCCCCGAGGGAAGCTGCGGGCAATTTTTTTGTTTTGTTTTTTGTTTGACAAACTAATAACAAGAACTCACAAACAGCGATGCCAACGAAAGTACAGATGATGTCATAAGTGGCTTTTGTATTGTAAAAACAAAAAAGAAAACTGCACTAAAAGATTAACCTGACGCCCGTAGTGACAGAGCCGGCTGCCTTCGAATAACGCAGTCAATGCTCTATAAACTTGGCTGAGCATTGTTAATGTTTTGTCCTATTTTGCACCTGTTAGAGAAAGACTCATGGCAGCCTAATGTCACCGAGTCTACAAAAAGCCAACTACCCGGTTACGTCTCTCTGCATTACTCAATGTTCACAACACAAAACTTTAATCTCTTTTTTAATTGCTGTTCGGGGTAAATGTGTTCGCACATTCGAAATTTGTTTTGCTATTCTCAACAAGGCCGTCTCAATCAGTTTTTTTTATGTTGTAGAATATTCGTTGCTCGCACACACCAAGTCCAAGTGGCGAATACGAATTTCAGTGACAAACCCTTTTTTTAAACAGAAAAGGAAAAGCTGCTTGCAGTATTAGTTATATTATCATCCGTATTTTTTTCATTCTTTTTGCAGGTAGCCCTGCTGGTAGCATGCACGGATCGGGATTAGTCATGACAGGTGGTTCACGTGAGTGCAATTCAAGCCTTCTTCTAATACATGCGCTGCGGCTGCACTCAACGAAATGTTGGTCAAGGAGCTTCACATAACGCACAACAAAATAGATGTTCCAAGTTGGTCTAGAATGCAAGTCTTTGACACAGAACTAGATGCTAACTACTCGTGCAACCACGCACTCCATGCGTGTTTTTGTTGTGGAATTCGCATGCACGCAGTTTTTCTAAGGAATGCCAGATATGCCCGAATATCTTGGGTAGATTTGTTGTGATTAATCAACCAGTTTTGTTCGGCTGTGATATAAAGACGTTTTCGCAAGATATTTTCATTCATGCAGAACTTCAGCATTATGCGCTATTCTGTAAGAAAAATGCCTTACCCGAGGTCTAATTCCAAGCAATATCTTGATTTTTTTGGGATGTTCGGACGTTCTGGCGGAGCAGGAGGTGGTCTCGCGGTCGTCACAGGTAAGTGAATGTTTTTTTTTCTTTCTTATTTACAACATGTAGGCAACACAAAGTTTCACCGTGAAAGTAGGCAATTGTCTTATAACTATAGATATTCCAAATGACCACGACAAAAAAAAACTCCAAAAGGTTAAAGTGAAGTCGCTGAAGCTTGACAAACACCGAAAAGAACAGGCCAGAACACCGACAAATTGACTTAAATAGACCGCACTAAGAAAAAGGTTATTGGACAAGGATACAACGAGCATGTGCTGTAATGAGACCATAGATGAATTTAATGATTCTTCCGAACTACTTTTTCCCTAAAGGAATTTATTCATCGCTGCTGTCAAAAAAGTTGTTCAGCCTTTACAGTCAGTTGTTGCACTGGCAGGACTAACGTACACGCATGTGCTCGTGTATTAAGTAGTTAATGCATATCTATCCAAAATCCCCAAAAGGATATGAAAGGTCTCCAGCTGCGTTTCTTGTAGCAGACACTACAGCAGTCACTCTCCGATGATAGGCCCCATTTCATGTGCGGCAGTGTACAGAAGCAAATGATTCTTTCTTTATTTTTAGGTGATGTTTGCTTTACAAACCTTCTGCTTCACTCGTTAAGTGTAAGCTTGAAGCCTCAATTTCTTTGTTGGTCATAGTAATAATGAGAACAGACAATAATGTCCAAAAAAATAAAGTGGACATTTTTAGAAGTACTTGTAATTTACACGGGAAAACACAGAAGGGGACAAAAAGATAAGTTGCCAGCACCAGGATCTGAAAAGATGCGACCTTCGCATAACGCATCCGATGCTCTACCACTGGGCTACAGTGGAGGTAGGAAACTTGGTTACCTAAGAAGCGAATGTTGACCACAAATAATGTTGCTCCCAGAAATGCTAGCCTCGTTTCGTAAAACATTGGATTATGTTGCTATCGCATTCATTGACTCATCCTTTTGGCGAAACTGACTCTTTTTTTGCTATATATATATATATATATATATATATATATATATATATATATATATATATATATATATATATACAAATGAAGCCTTGCCTGTTCCCCAATTTTCAACGATTGGTTTGTTTGTTTGTTTCTTAGACATTCCTTTTAAATAGTCAATCACAAGTTTTTCTGTGTATCGACATGTCTTCAAATTTATCGCTTTACGTACAATCTCGCGTGCTCGTCAATAGTTTTTAATAGAACAGATTGAGTATGTCTTAAAAAATTTTCGGGCTAAAAACAACAAAAAAGCAGGAATAAGCGCTGCACGTCTTGTCCAGTGAATAATTTTTTATTGGAGCATAATATGTGGCCCTTTGTCTGTGTAATTTGCGCAAATACTTTTTTCGCCACAGGAGGCAGCAGTGGCAGCACCGGCGGATCACATACGACTTTGATTGGAGGTCCGAGTAAGTATGTTCTAACCTGCAAACTCCAGCGCTGTGCCAGCAATTAAAAGGCACTGGTGTATAGAGAGGTCGGTCATGTAATGCAAGGTATAAAATAATACTTTTATTCGAAATAGAACACCCAAAAGGAAACTGTGTGTAGTATTTTAAAACCAATAATAAATCAAGCTTCGCTTATGCTTTAAGCATAAGCACCGTCTATGGCAGAATCTGTATCAAGTCTCCTAAAAAGCGCCCGATTCGAACCGACTTTTTGAGCTCCTGATTCATTATTCATTTTTTTTTTCCATACTGCTAAGTGCCTTTTTTATGCATAAGTTACTGAGTGGTGACAAATATGAACCAGTGTCTTGTAAAAGAATAGGTCGACTAACAGCACCACTCTAGAGCCGATTCGTCGTTCGGAAACTAGTTTCCCTAACTTCAGATTACTTAACTACGGATCATTTGAATTGCTCCTACCCTTTAGTGAACAGATTTTTCAAACGAAGCTATTTGTGGGTGAACTAAACAACGACGTTAGCCACCATTTACAACCATTACAATACGTTAGCCATTATTTAAAATCTGTAGGTAATTACACCTGCCCCGCTTTCGTGCAGTAAACAGTTAGCTATCAGGCTACCTCTCTAACCTCACACTGCTTTGTGAAAGTACGCCCAAGTAACACTTCAATCTCGCCTCGGAAACAAACAAATGTTAAGAAATACTCCCCTCTCATAATCTTTTTGTCTTTGGTAAACGTCTTTGTAGAATTGAAAAACCCCTTGTTATTGTGGACGAGGCTGTTTCACGGAAGAATTTTTTTTTAGTCCCAGAATTATTTCTGGCGAAATTCACACTGTTCTTTTTTTGCTTACAATTAAACATTTAGGTCTGTTTTTCTTTTTTACCGAACTGTGCTTAAAACTTGGTTCCTTACATTGCACGTTAATCTGACACGTGGAATGTAAAGCAAACAAATTTAACAGGCCGGAGCTCCTCTTCTGTTTCTAAAAAATGGTCCCTAAGAAATTACTGACAAGGAGTGAAGTTTAAGTGGCGAATATAACTTCCAGTGAAGAACCTCTTTTCAACAAAGCATGAAGAGATTCTCACTGTATTTTTTTTAATTTCGTCCACATTCATTCTTTCACTCCGTTTGCAGGTGGAACTGCTGGTAGCATGGGTGGATCGGGATTGATTGTGACAGGTGCTTCACGTAAGTGTGCCTCAATTGACTAGAGTATAAAATTGGGCATGTTGGTAAGACATAGTTGATCGACGTAGCGCGTTTAGAAACATAGGACAAGAGAAGGGACAGAAGGGAGCGCTTTCAACGCATGAGTTGCCTGTTAATAACACTATCAGAGTTTTAGATATCGCTCTCATTTTTCACCTAGACCACATTTGTTGGATGTACAAACCGAGGAGTAACAAACCCTTGCTTCCGTACCATTCCGCCCATACTAAGCTCGTAAAACGAGGCATTGTAAATATGTGTTTTAGTAACGCCTTACAGGAGTCTTGTCCACATCTGATGGCAGCTAGTTTCAGGGAACAAGTAGAACGACTTCTGGACGCTGGCTACCCCTCTCACGTACAGGTTTCCGTCGAGGTATTCTGGTCAAGAAGCTTCAGTCCTTGCAGCAAGCTCTCCCTCATGATGAGCCAGTAAGACGTCAGAAGCTTGCCGTAGTGCCTTATCTGCATGAAATCTCCCACAACTTGAAGAAGGTTGGGGAGCGGGCCAATGTAAAAGTGGTGTTTTCTGCCCCGAAAAAGCTCTCGTACTTGTGTATGAAAGTTGTTTCACAAGCAAAACCGGGATGCTCTAAAAAGCACTTAACATCAGATACCTCTTTCATGCGGTAAATACTACATAGGACAAACTGGCAGGTGCATTATTGACCGGCTTCGCGAACACGCTTGCAACGTGAGAAATGGTCGAGATGGTTTTTTGGCACTACATTGCAGCACGTGTGGCTGCAAACCACTTTTTCATTGTACTGTAATCATAGTAAAAAACAGAAATAAAGTGACAAGGGAGATTATTGAAGCAGAAAAGATTAGTAGATTAGGGCTGAACTGCGTCAGCACTCCTTCTCTCGGTCTTTGTGAAAAATAATTGTCGTTTTTGAGATCATAAGTTTTTAGCGCATGGCAATAGAGGGTTTTTCATCTGTTTATCTGTTGTCTTCGAATTTCGTGAGCATATATATGTACGCTCCTCGAAATAAAGATTTGGTTGGAAGTAAGCGCTCCCTTCGGTCCCTTCCCTTGTCCTATGTTTCTAAACGCGCTACGTCGACCAACTGTGCTTCAATGTTACACCAAATACACGCACTGCTACGGCACTCCACAAAATATTTCTCAAAGAGCTCACTCTTCACATAGCGTTACCTAAAAGGTAATGCCCCGAATTGATCTACAATATGGTTCTATGACGGAGAACTCAACGCTATTATAGTGCAATCACGCACTCCTTCGGCGTCCCTGTTGTGAAATCGGCATGCATGTATTCTAGAAGGAATATCACATATGCACAAGTATCCCGAGTACATTCATTGTCGTTATTCCACCAGTGTTTTCAGCGCTGATGTCCACCGTTCTCGGTTTCGTGATGTCCACTATTCTCCGAAAGTAATGTCCTGTTTGAGACACAATTCCAAGTGATATCTTACTTGCTTCTGGCTGCTCGTTGTGGCGCTGATGGAGCAAGACGTTTATGCCTTTTGGGACGTGTAACAGCTTTGCGTGCATTAGTATCTTAAAGACACACTCCATGAAGACTAGTAAGAAGACTCGCGTTATCATAAGCATCGCAAGGCGTTCGAGGAACAAGAGGGGGCAGTTTTCTCATTACCATGTTTACGCGCTCAATATGCTACAGCTGACTATGATGTGGTTTTGCCTCCGCTACGCCAACAGCCTGTTCCCGTAAAGTTCTCCACACTTAGGAGCATAAATTATTCTCTGGTGCAATGAAAAAGCTGCCTCATGTCCATAAAATGCAATTTAAAGATTCACATGTTTGTGTTTCAGCAAAATGTGTCGACCTGCCAGTATTTCGTGTACGGCCAATAAACAGAACCATATCACTGTTGAGTGACGCTGGTTAAAGATTTTCACGATCAAGTTAAACACTTATTTCTTTTTTATGGGACAAAAAGTTGGTCATTGCCGCTGATAAAACGAATCGCTTTGTCCTACTGTAATCATAAAAATTTACCGAGCAGCAGAAAATTCCTTTAAAATCGTTAGGAAATCTTACTGCAAGAATAAACCAAGAAAACCAAGATAAAAAGTGACAACATATCCACGAACTGAATGATGATGAGTAGGGCGAAGCCTCCGTTCGTGTGTTCGTTCGTCCAACCATCCATCCTACCATGGGTCGATCTGTCCATTCGCGCGTCTGTCTGAATGTCAGTCCATCTAGTAAACACTCCAAGTACCACCATCTCGCATATTTTCATCATATGTTTACTATATACAAGTACCACCATCTAGGGGACTTTCCAAGAACTGAACGAGAGGAGACTACCTACTCGTACCTCAAGGACGCACGACCCACGGCTTGAGGAACTTCGCCCCTAAAAGTCTATCCCCTGTTGCACATACACGCTCCATGGCATATCCTTTGTGGCACATACCCGCATACGATCTGTGGTTACTACGATAACGGGACGATCGAGTGACGCCATAAAGAGCTTTGCCCCTAAAAACTCAAGGCCTGTGCGGAAGGCGCTGCACAGTCACAGCGAAAGTAAGAAGAGCGGCTTTTCAGAGCCTTTTCTAAGCACTCATTGGGTAACTGCTGCAAGCACACTTGCTTGATGCTCACTACGGCATTAATAATAAAAATTTTAGGGCAGCAGGCCGGCATTCACTATGCTATTTTTCGTCATTCTTCTGAGAAGCGTGGTACCCGTTAAACTATTGCGAGGAATTTTGTGCCAATTGTTCATGCAGTGGCTGATGATGAGGAGGAATCATGCCTGAAGTGGGTATGTTCCACAGTTAATGGCTGTACAAAAGCAAGCTTTTGTAATGGGTTCGGGCATTGGACGACCCACTCGCTACGCTATTCGCATTGTGCGACGACTGCTTGTTCTTTAACTGTTTTAAAACACTTTATAAGTCGTGTTAACACGATTGCTTTCGAAAATCAAGCCTGCCTAAGGCAAGTTTGCCAACAAGTTCCATGCACCGGCGTGGCTCAGTGGTAGGATATTCAGCTGGCACCCCGGAGACCCGTGTTTAAGCCCCACTGTGTCATTGGTAATAGTTTTTTTTTTCTAATTTGACGCGATGTGGTTACGTACACCGGTGACGGCAGTGGCGGTGGCGGACAACTACGGCTCTGCGCGAGAGCCGAGTTTTATTCTCCAGCTTTCACTTTAAAACTCAATAGTGACGTTTCTCCTATGATCACGGCAGTTTTTTGCACTTCTTCAGCCAGCTGTCCGCGTCTTCTCAAGACGTTCCGCCAATGTTCAGCGGAACTCAGTAGTAAGGCTAGGAACCCATCGGTGTCACCCTGTAGGCACCGAAGCTCTGGTCATGAGACATTTTGATGGCTGATGACGGGAGTCCGGCAGGGTGGCAGCTGTGGCTAAGTACGAGCAGTAGTGCTTCCATCGTTGGGCTGATCGCATTCCGCACCTTCCAGCCGTATCCTAAGCGTGCAAGAAATGTTTAAGGTGTTGCTTAACGAGCACAAAAGCAGGAAAGACCATTCGGATCGTACAAGTAGTGTCATCATTCTCTTCTCCGGATTTTTTGGTGTCCTGACCCCATGACACTTTATGCTATGATGTTCACATCATGATTGTTATCAGAATCAGTTTATCATGTGTCAATGTCAAGACAAATGCATTTCGCTATGGTCTTCAACTCATCCAGTTCTGTACGAACTGAGCGTGTTTGTTTGGCTGAATATTTTGAGTGACAAGGAACGTTTTCTTTTTTTTGTTGTTGTTGTTTTTTGTAGAACAAGGAGGTCACCATGGAGCTGGCCAGCCTGGATCTGTTCTCCATGGAGTTGGTCACCCTGGCACTGGTAGTGGAAGCGCATCAGGCGTTATAGGTAAGTACGCATTTTGATACATTTTAAGCAATATTGCAGACGCTTTTTGCGTGTCTGTTGATGGTGGACATGATGATTGCGGATAAAATACCAGCATGCTTTTCATTTTGATGTGCAAGATATTTCATTGACGCAGTAGTTATTTGAGCACCATAAAGACAAACACTTGGCTAGTTTAGAGTAATAAAAAGTATAGAGCCATCGTATACAAATCACTATAAACAGTTCGTCAAAAGAAGGTAAACGTTGGCTCACATTTCTTAGTTTTTCTCACCGCAGCTTAACACGCATTCAACGGATGTCTATATCTATATGCACAACGTCTACAAAGGTAGACGTTGTGCATATACTTTGCTAGTTTAGAGTAATAAAAATTAATGAGCCTAGGTTCACACAATACTATAATCAGTTTGTCATAAGAAGGTAAAATTTGGCTCACATTTCTCAGTCTTTCTAACCTCAGGTTAATGCCCATTCAGCGGATGTCCATCTTTAGTACACTTTGTGCATACTGCGCACATTTAACCAAGTAAATGAAAGGGTCACCTCCTACTTGAACAGTGCTTCAAGATAATTTTGAATCACATTTTCAGGTGGATTGACGTACACTGAAGTTTTTTATTTATTCATTTGTTAGGTGTTCCCAAATAGCTTTAACCAAGATGACCCCGAATATGTCTCGAAACAACCTTAACAAAAAAAAATAAGGGCCAATAGCGCAGACAAAGTGCGATTTTCATTTCAGTGCAGAAATCACGTGTCTTCCTTAATGTCATAACTTTTGTCTTTGTTACAGGTACCATCCTCACAAGAACTCAAGAATCCCGGGTACATGTGACAAGTAGTGAGTGCACTTGATGTCTTTACAAATGCAGACGTTGCAACTATAACAGTGAAAAAAAAAGCACAGGAGTAATGACTAAGGCATGATAAAAGTTCTGTTAAATGTGGAAGGTTTTTGGCATGAAAAGTTATCAAAGAACGAGTGATATTTGATTCAGAAGTTGTATAAGACAACTCGTTAATGTACACAGGTGATTGGTCAGTATTTTGGCTCATGACTACGATCGCAGAATGAAAAAAAAAGGAAACAGTGATACTTTAATTGATCTTTATAATATATATGAAAAAAAAAACTCAACTCGAGGAAAATACCGTTAAACAGTGTAGACATTTTTTTTTCAGTGTGTCCAAAATTATATGAAGCCCTCATGACGAGCGCTACACCAATATGATCTTTTTGAGCATACGTATGGTCCCCCACCACATTCCTTGAACTCCAAGACTAGCCAGATTTCACTACAACTGCACACTATCCGTTACAAAGATGTGTATGGTCATCCCCTCACAATAGACTAAACAGCTATAGATATGAGTGGTACACTAGAGACAAGTACAAACAGACTCGTACAGAAACCCTGGACTCATGGGCGTCAGACATACACACTGCAAACAGATCCAGATCATCTGGCGATGTTGCCAGCTTTAGCGACATGCTGTGAGAGTGTCTAGGCTTAGTGGAAAATTCAACCAGTGCCGACCCCTGCATCTATTACACCGCCATCCACCACTCATGCAGGAAGACTACACTTGTAAGCTCGAACCTGACAGCGCAACTCTTGGCCGTCCAATGGGCTGAGGTCTCGGAACGGCATCTGTGGTGGGTGCCCAGGTCCACCAAAAAGTTGCCGAACTCGAATGTTTTTGATTGGCAAATACGTTCACGTCTCTTTCTCTCTCCTTTTCGTGTTTTATCGCGATAGTAATCATATGGACACTCTCGGCTGGATTTCACCGCCAGCGTCGGCGTCGGCGTCGTTGTCATGCACCATATATGTATACGTATTATACATACGAAAATGGAAGAAAGAAAAAAATTCTAGAGGAAAAGACTCCGGCACGCGGAATCCAACCTGGGACCTCCGCGTCGTGAATGCAAGGTGTTAACCACTGAGCGTTCAATGTTCAAGCAGCAAGCTATTCATATCTACCACTGACGTCTTTTTACCACTCCGTTCTTGGCGGGCATCTCGGGGGGGGATACTATTGTGCTTTCAACATTGTCAGCAAGGTGACGCAGTGAGCGCGTGGTGGCTCTCATCTCTCACGCGTACTTTGGCCTGCGTACAGAACAAGGGAGTGTGTGCTCGATCGCAGGCCCTTATTTTGAAGTGGGAAGAATCGTACGTCTTGGCTAGCCTTTGAGTTTCATCGGAACGATTATGTTGTAGTTACTGGACGCACAAAGCTCACTGCAATCATTACACAGCCTCAATTTGCGAAAAGAGCACGTTTTTGAGACACATTGAAGTAACAACTAAGACGCTTAATCGCGTGAATCTGTACATGTGAGTACGTTCCGTGCGTCCTTTGTGCGCGAGGAACGTGGGGCACGTTTTGATCTGCTTGCCATTGATTTGATTGATATGTAGGGTTTAACGTCCCAAAACCACTATATGAACATGAGAGACGCCGCAGTGGAGGGCTCCGGAAATTCAGACCACCTGGGGTTCTTTAACGTGCACCCAAATCTGAGCACACGGGCCTACAACATTTCCGCCTCCATCGAAAATGCAGCCGCCGCAGCCGGGATTCGAACCCGCGCCCTGCGGGTCAGCAGCCGAGTACCTTAGCCACTAGACCACCGCGGCGGGGCCTGCTTGCCATTCTGTGCGTGACCTTCCAATTCGTTGCTATCGTGTTCATTATTTCGCCTTTGCGACAAAGCTGTGAGTCTTTTTTTCTTTACACTCGCGGACCACTTCGTTGACAATGCAGGAAAAGCTATAGTGGGGGAGCTTCTGCACATGTACTTCTATTTCAAGATGTTTAGAATAGAAGACGTTTTGCACCATTGCAGAAAACGAGTGATCCAAGCAATTACCGTTTCACGTCGACGCAGACGCCGCGTAGCCTTTGAGATACACACGAAAGGCGCAACCGCGGTGCACCACGTTATGAAGCGTACAAAAAGGCAAAGACACAACGTGTAGTGTGCCACAAATACAAACATCTGATTGGTGTGACCAACGCCATACCTCAACCTGAATACTCAGACAGAATATTAGGACTATATGTTCTGTGGCATTCCATTCACTGGCAAGAAAACTTGTCCGCATATATGGAGTCATTATACAAAACATTTGGTACACAAGCTAAGCAGTAGTATGGTAAATCGTTCCTCATATACTTTTTTATGCCGCAGGCAGTGTCCATGGTACTGGAGCTAGTATGTCAGCTGGTAAGCCCACCGGTTTTCTTTTACTGCAATGATCAGCTTAGTATCCGGCGTTGTTTTCTAGTTGTATACTATTGAAGACATGACAGGCTCTTTAACATAACTACGAAACCTCAGTGCAGAAAGTGTATTAAGGAAAAAATTCTCAAAGTGGGTGATGTTTTACTGCGGGTGATTACTTTTACAAGTATGACCTAAAAATTTAAAAAAATACTCTGATATAGAAGGTGAATCCAAAATTTTCATTTAGGCATGATTGAACTAGGAACGCTGATATACAATAAATGCATAACATTGGTATGGAAAGAAAGATGGTTACTACATTAGATTATACATTGTTCAGTTTTATGCATACTGAAACAAAACACTGAGATATAGTTTGTGAAATTCGATGTTTTGGAATCGATCTCTTAATTGTGATTTCGAATGAGTAAGATGTGCACCGAAAAAATACTGCTGCTTTTCTTTATTATTCGTGCGATGTATCTACAAAAGTAAGAGGCTGCAATATTTCGTTCATCGTTCAATGCCACCATTTCACTGTGCATGTGTTGCAGATACTATAGTAGAGATAAATTGTAAGTGCATATCGCCAGGTGTTAAAATGCATAAAAAAAATCAGTGATGTTATATTCTAGTATGCTTATTTTCATACTATCATTCTTATAAGGCTCCCTATTACGTGGACTTCAAATTGAGTTTGGTTTCTAAAATGAGTAGGACAATGAGCAGGGCTGCCCGCATTTCGAAATCCAGAGCACTTCGTAGCTTGGCGTAATGCACACAAAACCACGACTAGCATAGCGATCTGTAACACATAGCATGGTCGCTCCGACGAGAAGTCTTCTACCGCTTGTTTTTCGAGCACTATAATTGGGGATGATAACTGCTCAGCATTTTAGGGGCCCGGACCATCGTGTGTTGTCGCTTGACCAAACGCTGGCAAACATCAAGCAAGGAAATAAAAAAAAAGATCAAGCAGCTGAGAAATTTAAAGAGCGATGGAGAAATGAAAAAAGGAGGCAATGGAATAAAAAAGGGGCAAGCAAGAGAAAGAAATGAATAGATGAAGCTATGTATAAAACCAATAAATTTAGAAGAGAGAAAGTTAGGACGAAAAAAAGAAAAAAACTGAAAGGCAGTCAAGATGTGAAATGCTAGAAGCTTGTGTACTGTGCGATGTTAATTCAGATTAAAAGACATCAGATAATCAAATTTTTTTGGAGGCTCTACAATAGCGTGCTTCATATTCACATTGTGCATTTGGCACGTAATGCCACAGATGTTAATATTGATAATATACTCATAGCATCTCACCAGTTTTGCAGTAAAGTTTTTCACTTTTACCGAAGAGTACAGCTTTGTGCCGCTATAGTTTGACTTGCTTATTTCACTCTGCACAGCAAATTAAAGTCAAAATCGAGTTAAATAGGCTCACAGGAAGCTGTAGCAGCGCGAATAAAAATCGGGATCAGAAATAGAAGGAAGTATAAGTGGTATTTTATGAATGTATGGCTAAAAAACCAGTTTACGATGCGTACGCATGAACCAGTACTGTTAAAACCACATACTTTTACTCGGAGCAAAATTGCACGTATTGAGCTACTTACTGTTTTGTATTATAAGTAAAGCTACAATTGTCTAATATGCTTCATGCTGCGTATTCACGGTGCCATTAAAGGGGTGGGATTTGCTATGTATCGTCCTCTGAGGCTCCCATGTTTTTGTTTTTTTAACAGAAAAGAGCGGTACTGGTATTATCGCCGACACATTGCTTCAAATTTTTGCACATTAGCCTTTTTAGCGCTACAGAAAACCACTACACCCAGGAACAAACTGAAACATCATCTTTGGTCTTTTTTGGCCATTTGAAGCTGTTGAAAGCAACTCAGCAAGCCTAGCCTTTAAACGTATTCTTGCGTATCTTGAATAAACTACTGCCAGTTTAGTTCTCTTTACTTCCTTTAGGTAGAGCAACTGGCGTCATTGGTGGTATCCCTGGTGGTGGCGTTGGTGTTGGAGGAAGTGCAGGAATCGCTGGTACGACCAGCACTTTAGGTAAAGATCCGCATCGTATTTCTGCAAAAACTGTTACCGTAATTTGGGGGCTTTTAATTCATTGATTTACATCTTCTTTGTGCGTGAACACGAATTACACTTCATCAGAACTCCTGAACATATACACATGACTGCGTCAGTTGTGGTGGATTCAATATTACCTTAACACCGTACTTACCTTGTACTTATATCTGTCTATGTGTTATACCTAAAAAAAAAAAGCTCCTAACCTAAATGTCTTGATCATCCAGTATTCACTTTTATAACATACTCTAACTTGGTCTCGAATATGTTTCACGGCCAATACTGAACAACATTTTTCAGAAGCGCATTTTTTTCAGCAACCATTCCTGCGTTTATTGGCGTCCCCGTTGCCGTCGATGGCGTAAGGGATGGATATGAAAAAAATAAAGCGAGAAAAAATACTGAAGGTTGAACGGTATTAGAACCCGAGCCCTTGCGTTGCAGTCGAGTATTGTACAGCAGAGGCCCGTTCGTACTTGCAACTAATTTGCAAAAAGACCTTACACAGGCTTCCTGTCGAACCGTGCTAACCTATGCGGTATAGCGTGGCAAAAGAGTAACATCATGAACAGTCATCCTACAATGCTTATTTGGCAACGCATTTGCGGTTTAGTGCTTCCCAACCACCGCAACGTGCTTAGCCGGAACTCTTCACCGTCATCAGCTCCATGCAGCAATAATGAAGAGCACGTAATGCTTTATAGATGAGACCTCGCTAATCCGCACGAAGTCGAATAATGGCGTAATGGTAGCTGTCATATTTCACGAAAAATCATGATTGATGGCGTACACGACACCTTGCGGCAAGCTAAAACTTCAAGCATGGTCGGCTTTGCCCCAAGACGGAGCAACGCTCAAGATTACCGTTAGGCAGTATCATATTCGTCGGCATTTTTATTTTTATCTTTCCGTGCGAAGAACACGTAATGTGATCGCTATATTGAAAAGTTCCCGAGTATGATGTTGAAAATACTGATCCATACGATACTGCTTTAGTGCTTACAATTGTGTTATTCAGTGCTCATCGTTGGTCGCTATAGTGTAAAACTTGAATTATTTTCGTGTTGCACTTTTGTTAGATTTGTATTTTGTTGGAACTACAAATTGTGTGGTCTGTACAAAGTCATAACTTTCTACGCATCGAATGCTTACTGCAGCCATGAATTTATTTTTGTCGCATGATGTGCCCTTTTTTTTTCAAGTGAATGATTTCATCAACGCTCACATTTCTTTGGCAATTAAACAGCGCTGGGGTCAAATTCATGAAATCTTCACGAATAACTCAAAGAATTTGTGGTTGATCACTACCAGAGATTTGACGACGAATTTTCGCGTATTCGTTGAGGCTCTTTTAATCCTCTTACAGTGTGTTTAACGTCAACCACAACTAATGTGAAGGCGGTTGTGTGTACGTACATACTTGTTTTCACAACAATGTTAGTATCATCGATTGACTAGGCAGTTGTCTCAAAATCGACAACTTCTAACTTGTCATAAGACAAGACGACAATCACTGAAATTTCAAGCAATCTGAACGGCTTCTTCCTTTCTCTTGTAGTCACTGGAGGTCAGATCAACGGTGCTGGAGTCTCAGGTAAGTCAATATGCATCGGTAACTACATAGTTGTCCTCTAATGGATCGTGCTGAAGGAAAGCGCCGCTTCAACTGCTGGACATCATCGCTGTGAAAATTTAAGGTACAATAAGAATCACCTCTTGCTGGACTACATGTCTGAAACACGACACACACAGAAGGTGACAAGAACAGGAACTCCATACGTTAGATCCCGAGCGGCCGTTTGCGTTGGATAAAATATTGGGCCCATGGCCATCTAAAACAAATGGCGAAGCAATGAAGGTGCTGCAACATTTCTTCGAAGAAACGAATATTTGTGACCACTACTGAGCGGACTAGAGTTAAAAGTGAGCGTGGCGACTACGTGTTTGTTCTGCCCATAGGACAACTTTCCCACTCGTCTATGTAGGGTTTTATATTTGTATATATGCTATTTTGTTTTTTTTTCTATCCTTTATTTGTAACAACCAAGTGAAAAGGCGTAGCTTGCGCCAAGTAACTGTGACAAAAGCTCCTGCGTTCATTTTTTGTTTCAATAAAAAAAATAACACTATGGATCATGTGGTCTTGAAGTTAAAACCCTGAAACACATAAATGTAACATAAAACTATAATAAAGAGGATCCATAAAAAAACAAAGAAAATAAAATAGGCTTACGCAGTGGACACGTAAACTATAAAGAATGTGCCTATGATACACTTTTTCTACGTTACCGATCGCGAACAGCCACTGGTGTATAAGTAGATTTGTGGAGCTTTTGAACATCCATGTAGGTACGTAGTCCTTTGAGGCTGTATTAATTCTGCGATCTGCCGAGGTTATTAGATAACGCAAAGATGGTTTCACAACGCTTATAAAGAAGACGTCTTTGCCTTTACGAATGCATTATTTTGGAGTAATTAAAACATTTAGGATATCTATGTTCAAACTTGTAGGACGGGGATGTTCACCTCTATGTTATTTTTTTTCTTCGGAATGCTGTTTGCGTCTCCTTGGAGCTTGTCATCCGCATAGGTTTCTATGCTATTGTGAACTAACCGCAATGCGTCACTTCAGTTTTGTTACGGCTTTTAACGTATGGTGCTTCACAATGTTAGATTGAACAAATTGATATTTTGGTTTAGCATGATGCGATGTACAAGACACGAAGACGATGCTGGTGAAGGATAGAAAGATACACCTACAAATACACACACAGGTTACTAGCTCCAGCGATGCTTGTACCAAAAAAATAAATAGTATATAAAGAACGGCTGTTTTATTTCTCACAAAATGAACATTGTTGAAAGTAGCGGGCCATGCGTTGGCGCTCTCTACTTGCCCATCATCGGCACGCTTTGGGCCAAAGTTGGTGCTACATAGTAGTGTCTGAGCTGTTTTCACGGTTACCTGCGATTGAAACACGGCAGGCGTTACAGGTGTGACCCTAAAGCGCGATGCATTCTACGCCACTTCTATAAAGTTACTGTGTAATTAGCGAATAATTGAAAACACGAGCTTCTATTTCGATTGATTATCGTATAGAGACAAATGTAATTGGATACAAGCCTTCCTTTCTTTTTTTTTTAGGACAAACTGGTGGTCACCTTGTAGCAGGCACTGGACATGGCGGTGGAGTGATATCTGGTGCTGGAGCTACTGCAGGAATTAGCGCTGGAACTATCTCGGGTGTTGCAGGTGAGTGAAGATTTTATTTCCAGATAACCAATATTACGATATTATAGCCGTAATACTTTCGCCTGGCGATGATAATCACGATTAAGCGACCGGCACCAAAAGTACTAAGGGTTATTTTACGTCAGCAAAGTTGTTTTCTCAGTATGTGGTGAGAGTGAGCCTAAAGTTTAATTTATCTTTAGTAGTTCAATACACGTTATGAGCTACCAGAGACCGAATAGGCGTCGTAATTTAGCAGGTTTATCATTTTGCAACGGGATGGGTAGGCCAGCATGTGAAGTTACAGGGCACAATAGTGGGTAAGGGCAATTTACAGCACTGCATGCCATTTGGCGGCCCAGGTTTAGAAGCGCCTAGCTTCATTTTAACATGCTAAAATGATGAACCTGAATTACAAAGCAAGCAAGAAGAAAATGTGCATAAAATGTAATGAAGTTTTTTATAGCTTTGCATATCGGCTTGCCACGGGGTTTCAAATGTGCTAGGCAACCAATGTGATGAAACACGTTGATTTTCAACGATAATAGGGGTTTCAGAGTGAAAACTTTGTTAGGTTCTGTTAAGTCAAATGCGGAGAATAGATAAAATATCAAGATGGAATATACACTTCTTGTTACAAAAATCAATCCCTGTGTTCTAAATATACTTTACATGATCCCGTTAAGAAGCATAACTATTATGGCCATGAAAATTTTATGAAATATCACGCAGCGCTCACAGAGAAACGAAGAACAAGTGTGCAGAACAGCTTCTTGTCATTTCTCTAATGTGTGCGACTTTCAATAATATTGTCAGAATCTCCAGTGTGCTCAAAGGGATACTTAACAAAATTTTTTGCCGTTAACATCTTCAGCCAAATTGATAGGTTGGATCCTCAAATCAATAGAGACAACCTTCATTCCTAGCGTAAAGCACCAGAAAATAATGAATATAAATATACTGCAATAAATTGCCTTTTGTGAAAATGCATATGCATTTTTCACAAACTGGCGCATCTAGCTGTGGCACCGTGAACTAGATAGAGAAGGTGTGTGTGTGCGTGTGTTGTGTGCGTGTGTGCGTGTGTGCGGGCGTGCGCGCGTGGTGCGTGTGTGTGCGTGCGTGTGTGTGCGTGCGTGTGCGTGCGTGTGTGTGCGTGCGTGTGTGTGTGTGCGTGCGTGTGTGTGCGTGTGTGTGTGTGTGTGTGTGTGTGTGTGTGCGTGTGTGTGTGTGTGTGTGTGTGTTTAACAAAATATATTAATAAGTATGCACTTAGTGGTTCAACGGCGCACTACGAGCCGCTTTTCACTATCGAGTTCCACTCTTAAAGGCGAAGCTTAAGGGTCCCCCAATTTTTTGGTGCAAGGCTACATATAGCATTGCTTCCAATCACTGTGCCAAAGTGGAACTATCGCTTAGCCGTCATGCATTCTTCAGTTTTTTACTGATAAAATTAAACATTTTGGCGTTTTAATTTCCAAAAGCAAGATATTGTCATGAGTTAAGCCGTAGTGCGAAACTCCAGACAACATTGAGCAGAGAGGTTTCCGAAACGTGCACTTAAGTGTACGTACGTGGGTCACATTGGTCGCATTGGTAGTTTCATGCTGCATAAAATAGTACGATCGCTAGTACGATCGCGTTTTATGTAATCTTGTACCACTAACTTTGCTTATTTGAACTAATTTTTTGATTCCCGCTGAATATACACTTTTCTATATTCAGGACATACTGGTTCACATGCGGCTGGTCCCCTTGGAGCCGGTCAGATTGGAGGCAGCTCAGTTGGAGCCACTTCAATCGGAGGTGGTGTGATTGGAGGCAGCTCACTTGGAGGTGGTCTGATTGGAGGAGTTTCGACTAGAGGCGTTTCGGCTGGTGGTGTTTCGACTGGAGGCGTTTCGACTGGGGGCGTTTTAACTGGAGCCGGTCGAAGTCAAACTGGTTATATTGGCACCACTCACATTGGCACCGCTCAGGCCACAGGTCAGATTGGAGCGGGTCATACTATTGCTGGTCAGCTTGGAAATGGACGCATTGGCAGTGGTGGCGCAACTACCCCAAGTGGTGAGTGCAGATCTGTCATCTTTAGATGGTTGTTGACACAAACTTCTCGTTCCTCTCGTGATGGACGTGAGAGTGGTTGCTAAAATAAAAAGCTTTCTGTTGCCCCCCTTGACACCATGAAAAATTTTCTAGACCCAGATAGTTCATTACGAAGTTGTTAAAAGGCGACAGAAAAATATCTAAGCTAAAACACAGATCATTTTCAAAGCTATTTTGCTGATTCTATAATAATTTCTTATTCCAAAAAAGACAAAAGTCACCCATTTTACTGTCCTTCGTCCTGTAACTCCACGCTCTATTATTACGAGTGACCATTTAGCTTACGTCAATCTTCATATTAGTCAGCACATACTGCGAACATCAACATTTATATTCACGTGCGACCAGGGCCCATTTGCCTTTCACAGCTTTTTGTCTCTCGGCCTGCTCTTAGATGATGCTCAGAAAGAATCAGTTCAACTAAGTACACTGAATGACTTCATCGGTGCACAGCCTGCACTGCAATCCAATACAATTTCTCTTCTTTTTTTTAGGATCTGCTGCTGATAGTGTAGGCTCTTAGGGCGAATATCTGTCTAATGGTAAAGTAAGCACAAATCACACAGCTTTGAAAAAATTCATTATGTTGTATTAACACTTCATCTGGTAGAATTTTTCAATGCATAAGTCCATTAAAGCGTCGGTTCACTTAAATTGAACTCACCTGCTAGTGCCTAGCAAGGGACGTCGTATTAGTCACTTTCATTTAGCATGTCCTGGGCTTTGTTAAAAACCAAGGAAGTCGCGTTAACAAAACTCATTGGTTAAAATAAGGCAATGAGAAATTGTTGGTCTACCATAGCTAGCAGGACAGCTTGGTGAGTAAACATGTTCTGGTAAACGTGCAGCGCAGCACGGACCAAGGACAATGAAACAGACGACACCTGTAGTGTTGCATTTTTTTTTTGCCCTCTGTCTGTGCCGCGCCTTGCACTTACCGGAGCATTTTCAGAAAAGTGACACTTCATTCGTCCGAGAACACAAATTAACGTTTGTCAGCATCATTCTATTGTTGAGATTTATTGAAGCCGTTTGCACCAAAGCAATGCCGCACACTGTGGAGCGAACATAAAAAACATTGATAATATCAAAACTTAATATGCTATACAGTGGCGTAAAACACTTCCGGGGCACTATTCCGCGTCATTTGCCTCGTCTTGGTGGTGAATGTACTTTGTAAACCAACATCTGCCGTCCCAGTTCGCCAGCAACTTCTTCCGCCAGGCCACCCACGTTTGTCGAAGTAATGCATCGGCTTATGCTTTTATGGCCAACAAGCGTATTCACTGTGTTGCTTGTGGCCTAATCTAACCAGCCAGGTTATGGGTGCACGTTGCACAGAAGAAAGAAATATAATCAGTAACTTAGACAAACAAGAAATGAGTTATAATATTTATACAAGTATAGCACTCTCTCTAAAATGATACATCATATGTAGGTTCACGTACAAACGAAAATATAAAAAACTGCACCGCCTCTCCCCAATGCATCTTTATTTCAATACAAACAGGATTCATTACCTTGCCCTTCATCACTAATCACCTAAGCTTGCGGAGCTCATCAAATTTCATAACCTTCAAACTGATGTGTATATTTCAGTAAGATGAGGACACATTCTGTTTTGCAAAGAGAATATTTTGTGTCCTATAGCGCAAGCACCTAGCAAAATTCAATTTTTAAAAAAAGCGAACACTTGGAATTCGCCTGCACTCAACCGGAAGTTCAATGTACGCCCCAGTGTTACAAAACCCCGATAAATACACTCATATAGAAGAACATAGTAGTTCGAGTTAAGAGATATTTAGAATACATTTGATACCAAGCATAAAACTTGTGCAAGAACCATCACGTGCCTGAAACCATTCTGAGTAGTGCACTAAAATTGCGCAATAGTGACGCTGGTGCGCGCATGAATAACGCTGAGAGGGAGTAATGGCGTATCACGACGCATGTTCAAGGTCACGATGTGCAAGTGACAAATCTCCCCTCCCCTTCGACTGTCAACGACTGTTATTTCTGCTAGTGTAACGTCCAGCTAGCACAGGAAAAGGGAAGCTGCAAACCACTGAAAGTAGGCTACAAAACTCAAAAACGTAACTCGTTCTTCAGAGATTCTAAAAATGTTTGCGACAATCGATTTACAAGATAATAAATTACGATTCAGAGATCAATTCATTAATACTTAGAAATGTGGTTCACAACGTTCACAGTCTTGGTTCTCAAGCACAATCAACTGCAATGAATTTTATCCAATCATTTCGTACGCTGTTCACCAATCGTCATTCACAAAAAAAAAGCTATCACGAACAAAAACAGGAAGAAATATGCTGAAACTAAGAAACAATGACACACCTTATAGAAACATTATCTTCATTTTAACATTAGTCGCGTTTTTGTCCTAATATTGTTTTCCTTTTTTGATGCAGGTGTCTTAATTACTCGCACTCAAACTCAAGTAACAGAGGTGCATACTACGGGCAGTTCAAGTGAGAGCAATTCGACTTTCTTACAAACACATGCACTATGTTGAAATCAATGCATCAGTGCCAAACACCGTCGTAATGATTCCAATACGACATAGGTTCCCGAAGAAGCGGCATATTTTAGTGATGAAAATTTGTGAAACAAAGAATGACACAGGCTCCAGCTTTCCGGCTGGGGAACTTTAGTGCGAACTTTGGCTTCAGCTAACTACCTCCGCGAAATAGTTTTATGTCAACAGAATGTAAATGAAAATCAATGCTTGAAATCAAACCATATCATTATCAGCGGACTCGGCAGCAAGTACTACTTAACTATAAATGAATTTAGGCACTTTTAATTGGACTTTTGGTAGAACATTGTGAAGGCAACAGCGTGGCTACCAACGAAGACAAATAAATACACAAGGGTCATTCCACGCCAACTGTCCCAACCAGGACGCTCGACAAAAATGGATTTCAATCAAATAGTTTCAGAAAATGACACACATATAGGCATTACGTCTAAACCATTTTTCCAAGATATTTTGAACGGTAAAAATTTTTGGCGCTCGTGACAACCATTTGAAAATCCCGAAATGTTGAAAAATCAGGTACAACAAAAATTTCTATAAATTAACGGTTTTACCCATTCTTTCAATACAAGCTTTTTGTATTTTTAAAGCAACTCGCTTTCAATATAGAACAGTTGCTCATGATAGCTTGAAAAGTATCACGCTTTAGTGCGTAGTGAAACCTATGTAAATTGTAGTGTTTTGTATAATTTTTCATCGGAACAAAACCATTGATTGGATCCATAAACTACTTCAATACAACTTCCCATAACACCTACTATTCACAAATATATTGGTTTTTCTAGTGTGCTGCGCATAGGATATGAAATAAAATCCTGAACATGGCAAAAACGCCACTTTGGTCTAAGCGTAGACATCTGTAGCACCTTAAGGTGGTTCAAGAGAAAAATTAGAAGAAAAGCGCATGCGATTAAAAATCAGAGCGACTTTGTTCACAGAAAGTTCAATCAAAGTCATTTTTGTTTTAGCGGAGAAAAGCATTTTTGAAGTTCAGTCCCACCATTGCATTGTTCTGCTATGGAGCCAATACAAGCAAGTCAACTGAACTTGCTCCATAAAAAAGAATGGCAGTGAATTTACAGAACATGGTTCAAAGTCCCTCTTAGTCCTCCATTTGGTATACTGCATATCAAGGTGACATTAAGCAGTGCTTCAGATGTAACAATGCGAATGAAATGCATGCCACTAAGCTCCCAACAATGAATCGCGTAACATTTATTGTATGTGGCTATAAGAAGCCATTGGCGTCCAAAAACATGTTTCAACGTTTATATAAATCGTAAGCATACAGTAGGCTTGAGTCTGGTCATTTATAGTTGATACACATATAGTTTATCTATGTATTCCACATGTGGCGCACGATGTGACCACTGCCTACGCACTCACGCCTACGGTTGGAGCATGCGAAGCTTTTTTTTTTTTCACAACTTGTTTGGCTGGTTTTCGGAAACGGGTATTGGTTAAAGTATGACGTGTCAGTCTGGTAACAAGCGTTGTTTTACAGCTGTTGTGAGATATCATCAAATATTTATGGTGTAGTCGTCGGCCGCCACCTGCGCTGTGTGGCTCATGCAATTAATGTAACGTGATTCATTATTGGTAGCGTGGTGATATATAGTTCAGTGGCATTGTCATATCTTTGGCACTGTTTACTGTCACCTCGACATGTAGTATACAAAAGAGTATTAACAAGTTGACTTTGAAATATTTGTTGTATAATGAGGCGTTTTAGAGTTGCACTCTTTTATAAAACAGGAGAGCGGTCACGACACGTCAAGTGGTAATGGCGGAACCAGCCTGAGTCCCCAGCCAACCAAACGTCGTCTTCTTCACCGACTGAGTCATACCCCCTGCCCTTCTGGGTAGCATTCATCTTCTTCACTACATTTTCCTCCCCTCCAGAAAAGAGCCATCCTGGCGACTCAAGGGCAGGAGACAATAGAGGGATCGTAATACGGTTTTAGGCGGTCTATGTGGACGGTCTCACGTCCACGGCGTCGTTGATCATGGGGCTGTTCAAGCGGCTCCACGATGTAATTGACGGGTGAAGTTTGTTTAACCACACGGTAAGGTCCGTCATACTTGTACATCAGTTTCGTTGAGAGACCAGGGCTGGTTGAAGGGATGCGAAGCCAGACAAGTTCATCCGATGCATAAGAAGCCGGAGGCGTCGGGCTATCGCGGTGGTGTTTCTGGCGTTGCTGTTCAGCACTTGTGAAGGAGCGGGCAAGCTTCCGCGTATTTAGCAGCTTGTGACATCGTCGTCGACTCAGCAACATCCGGGTGGTAAGGAAGGATGGTGTCTAGCGTGCAAGAGGGCTCGCGACCATAAAGGAGGAAATATGGCGAGAAACCAGTGATTGTCTGGACAGCAGTATTATGCGCGTAGGTTACAAAAGGGAGAATACTGTCCCAATTGGTGTGATCGGTTGCGACGTACATCAACAGCATATCTCCTAATGTACGGTTGAATCTTTCTGTAGTGCCATTTGTTTGAGGATGATACGCGGTGGTGGTGCGATGAATGACTTGGCATTCCTTGAGAAGCGATTCGACAGCGTCCGACAAAAACACACGCCCTCGGTCACTCAGGAGTTCACGTGGTGCACCGTGACGTAAAATGATCTGATGCAGTATGAAACGACCGACGTCGCTGGCTGACGCAGAAGAGAGTGGTGAAGTTTCTGCGTAGCGCGTAAGGTGATCGATAGCGACGATTACCCAGCGATTTCCAGCCGGTGTAATCGGAAGAGGTCCATACAGATCAATACCAACACGGTCAAACGGTCGGGCAGGACAAGGTAAGGGTTGTAGTGGAGCTGGAGAAGTTGGAGTGGGATTCTTCCGGCGTTGACAAGCGAGACAGGAACGTACGTAGCGACGGACGAAGCGATACATTCCACGCCAGTAGTAGCGGTGGGACAGGCGGGTGTAGGTTTTTAACACTCCAGCATGGGCGCATTGTGGGTCAGCGTGAAAGGAGGCGCATATGTCTGAGCGGAGACTTCTGGGAATGACTAGAAGCCATTGGCGTCCTTCGGAGAGATAATTACGTCTGTATAGCAAACCATCTCTGATAACGAAGTGCTGTATTTGACGGCGCATACCTCTAGGGATATTTTGCGAGGGAGTTCGATTCAACAAGTTGATAAGTGAAGCGATTCAAGGATCTTTTCGTTGCTCCTGTCGCATGTCACTGACACTAAGTGCAGATACGTCGGGGGCAGGCGAAGACGGCGGCTTGTCACTACATCGTAGAGGTGATCGGGACAACGCGTCTGCGTCGGAATGTTTTCGGCCAGATCGGTAAACGACGTGGATGTCGTACTCTTGTAGCCGAAGCGCCCAACGGGCAAGCCGGCTGGTGGGATCTTTTAACGAGGAGAGCCAACATAATGCATGATGATCTGTAACCACGCTGAATGGGCGCCCGTAAAGATATGGTCGAAACTTGCCTATGGCCCATATGATGGCTAGACACTCTTTTTCGGTGACTGAATAGTTGGCTTCTGCTTTTGTGAGTGCACGGCTGGCGTAAGAGACGACGTACTCATCAAATCCAGGTTTACGCTGGGCGAGCACAGCACCGAGGCCAACTCCGCTAGCATCCGTGTGTATTTCCGTCGGGGCAAGAGGATCAAAATGTCGCAGTATAGGAGGTGACGTAAGAAGGTGGCGGAGTGTGGCAAATGCATCATCACAAGCTGACGACCAACTAGAAAGGTCTTTGTTGCCAGCAAGAAGGTCAGTCAAGGGCGATATGATGGAGGCGAAGTTGCGAATAAAACGACGAAAATATGAACATAAACCGAGGAAGCTGCGAAGTTCTTTTAAGGTCTTCGGCTTGGGAAATTCGGCAACGGCACGGAGTTTCGTCGAATCCGGAAGAATGCCATCTCTAGATACAACATGGCCCAAAATTAGGAGTTGTCGAGCGCCGAAGCAGCACTTCTTCAAGTTGAGCTGTAGACCGGCGGCGGTGAGGCAAGTAAGCACTGTCTCGAGCCGCTGAAGATGCGTTGAAAAGTCGCTTGAAAATATTACAACATCGTCTAAATAGCACAGACATGTCTGCCATTTCAGGCCACGGAGGATGTTGTCGATCATGCGCTCGAAAGTGGCAGGCGCATTGCAGAGCCCAAATGGCATGACGTTAAATTCATATAAGCCATCAGGGGTAACAAAAGCCGTCTTGGGGCGATCAGCCTCAGCCATGGGAACCTGCCAATAACCTGAACGCAGATCTAGTGACGAGAAGAACTCCGCGCCTTGCAAGCAGTCAAGGGCATCGTCTATGCGAGGTAGCGGGTAAACATCTTTGCGAGTGATCTTATTCAACCGGCGGTAGTCGACGCAGAATCTTATTGAGCCATCTTTTTTCTTGACTAGAACAACTGGGGAGGCCCACGGGCTGTTAGAGGGCTCAATAACACCTCGCTTCAACATGTCGTCAACTTGTTCCGCGATTATGCGACGCTCAGATGCCGATACCCGATACGGACGCTGACGTAAAGGAGCGTGAAGGCCAGTGTCGATTTGGTGAGATACAGTGGAAGCACGGCCCAAAGTCAGTTGCTGGTGGTCGAAGCTGGCACGGAAGCGCTCGAGGAGGGCGATGATGTCGGTGCGCTGCTGGGCCGTAAGGTTGGGGTCGATGCAGCGCGAAATTGCGTCGGTGAATGATGGGGAAGAGGATGACGCGCAGCAATCAACAGCATCAATAGGTAGCGTAGTCGAGTGGTCAGGAACTACACGTGCACTCGAGGGATCAATGTCATCGGCAATGCCCAGGCACTCTCCGCACAGTAACTTGGAAGGCGAGGGAAACGGATTTGATACATAAATTGCACTTGATCCATCGTGAATATTCAGAACGGCGAAAGGAATCAGGAAGCACTTGCGGCGAACAGCGGTTACAGAAGGCGTAAAGAG